ATTGTGTCATTTTCAGTGTTATCCAATATCAGTCAAACCTGTTAGAACCAAGGGTGTTTATTTTATTTTTAAAACTCCCAATCCACTACTATAGCTCCGTCTTTGATTTAGTCACAGGTATTTTTAGTAAAATTCATTGACAGGTCCCAGGCAATAAATAAAAACTCATGGCTTGTGTCCTCTCCATGATTTATAGTAGAAATACCCATGACTAAATCGTGGGGCGGGCGGGCGGGGAGAAGGGAAGAGAAAGATTACAAAAATGAGTCTCACTGGCCATTTTAGAAAGAGGGAGAAGAAAGCAGAAGCAGAAAGCTGGCAGCGAGGAAGGGGGGGGGAGAAACGACTCCACATTCCAGAAAAGTCACATGCAGGATGGAAGGATCCTGGACTCCCTTAAAGACTCTGACTTAAACTCAAAGAATGCTCAACAGTTGAAGCACATAACACACAGGCTTTGTAAAAGTACTCTCAACACATGCGTGTCCCTGGAGGAGGTAAACAGTAAGCCAGAGTGCTCACAAGACTGGAGAGCTCTGGGAAATGGAGTGCCTATGCAGCTGGGGCACCTTGGGAGTCAGCACTGGTCCTGGGGGCTTAGGGGAACTAGACCAGAGGGCCCCCACTTCTATGAAGGGGTAAGAGTTCATGCCTGGGAAGCATGCCAGAGAAAGAGGGTGCTGGAGCCTATCCAGTTCAAGGGACGGCTTAAAAGCACATGGGTCCAGCATATCAGACCCAAAGAGCACCAAGGAGTATGTCCAGCAGGGGAGCTTTCCCAGGCCGGTAACACCTTTGTCTTCCAAGACCAGAAAGTAAGAATCTTTGCTCCTAGAGGGACTAGATATTTAGAAATCCAAGATGAGCCAACATAAATTGTAAGGTAATTTCAAGCCAATAAAGGTGCTAAATCTACTTATTATTCACTTAGAAATAAACACCAACATACTCCTGAAGTCACATTTTAGACTTTAACAAAAAAAAACAAACCACACATACACAAAAACCACACACACTTTATTGAATATTTAGGTGTTTTACTATTGCCTGAATGCAAAATGCTCTAAGAGGGATTTACTTCAAACAACATAAAGCATAAGCTATATACTTTTGCTTAGTGTTCTGTTTTACATTTAAGAATTCCCATTGACTACTGCATCAACTCTTTTCAGCCTTTATCAGCATCAGATACCATAAGTTAAACTTATTTTAACTGCTGCACTTACACTTAACCTTTGCTCAATATGGTAAAAAGAGTTTCACTATTATATTGACAATGCATTTGGAATGAGACATGGCCTGCCTGGTGGCAATACTTGACAGAGTCATGTAGAATGTCTAGTTTGAAATGAAGAGTTTAAACAAAGACTGCCTGTTCATCTAATAGCGGGAGAGAATTCTTTGCACACCTCAGTTAAGTAGTGGATTACGGTTCTGGTCCTGCACTCCTGATGTCAAGAGGAAACAGAACACTGCTGGTGATTCTTTAACTAGTTCAATACATGATAATGTTACTAACATGTCAACTTGTAGTTGGATACACTAACGTATCTAGTCATCACTTCAAGATGCATTGTCTTCAGGGAGATGTGTTAACAGATAGCTTGGATGGTCCATCAGCTCAGCCTAAAGTGAAGGGAACTTTTAGAACAGAAAGGAGGAAACAGGAAGTTGAACCAGACCAGTCACAAATTTATGATGGAAAGTAAACTATTTTATCGGTACACTAGAAGAAGGAATGTAAAATCCTCACTCCCAAAGCAGGAAAGAAAACCCACTCTTGCTAGGATGTATTAAGTCCAATTTCTTCAGTATTTCAGCTTTCATATTAGAAAAAGCAAGTTTCTAGCCTTTATGATTCCCAGTGAGAATGGATACAGTGTGGTTGTCCTGATTCTGCAAAAAGACTGCTCTCCAGTGCCTCTGAGCTTTGCCAAGCCACAGCTTGAAATTCAGATTCTGGTCAGTTTCACAGCCACAATCCACCAGTGTTCTGCAGTATTAACAGAAGTAGTAAAGAAAATCCTATCAAATCTGGTCATTAAAGACTTGACTTAGATACACAGGAAGGAGATCTGTTGAAGATACATTTTTATGCTCTCTTTACAGACCAAAACTGAACAGCTGCTAGTGCTTTACAATTGTGTAAAAGCCTCCCTTGTTTCTCTTTATGGTATTATGAGAAGTTTTATACTTACTGCTGAAATATCACCCAAATATCTCACAGGAGAAATTTATAAAGGTAACCCATCCTAGTATCCTGGTATTAAAGAAACAGCACACATGAAAAGCACACTCAGCCAAGTTGTTTTAAAACTAAACATTCCCAAATCATAATTTTAAACAAACAAACCTCATAGTTGGATACTATTCATAACAATTATTCCATCATCAAAATAAAATTATGGGAAGAATGAAATGACAATTAAATTTTCTCTAAAAGTGCTTCAAGAAGAATTCATACACCATTCTGTTTGAATTCAGATATCTAATGCACACTTCTATACCCACTCAACTTTGCAGTCTATAGAATTAAGTATTTAAACTGAGCAGAAGTCTTTTACTAATTTGCATGATAAAAACTTCAGTATAGTTAAAATTTTACAAATATACCCTTAAATTAGTAGATTTCAGAGTAACAGCCGTGTTAGTCTGTATTCGCAAAAAGAAAAGGAGTACTTGTGGCACCTTAGAGACTAACCAATTTATTTGAGCATGAGCTTTCGTGAGCTACAGCTCACTTCATCAGATGCATACTGTGGAAACTGCAGCAGACTTTATATATACACAGAGAATATGAAACAATACCTCCTCCCACCCCACTGTCCTGCTGGTAATAGCTTATCTAAAGTGATCAACAGGTGGGCCATTTCCAGCACAAATCCAGGTTTTCTCACCCTCCACCCCCCCACACAAATTCACTCTCCTGCTGGTGCTAGCCCATCCAAAGTGACAACTCTTTACATAATCAAGTCGGGCTATTTCCTGCATAAATCCAGGTTCTCTCACATCCCCCCCACCCCCATACACACACAAACTCACTCTCCTGCTGGTAATAGCTCATCTAAACTGACCACTCTCCAAGTTTAAATCCAAGTTAAACCAGCGGGATTTAAACTTGGAGAGTGGTCAGTTTAGATGAGCTATTACCAGCAGGAGAGAGAGTTTGTGGCTACAACACCACTGCAAACAACTGCTTGGAAAGTATTCGTTTTTTGTTTGATAAACTAACAAAATAATGCCAGTAGACAAGTTCTCATAAGCAACTCTACAATAAATTACAATGGGAAGAAAGCATCTGTATCAATATATTTATGTTTTCAACTTCTAATGGATTTAATTAAGAATTTTAAAGGGCAACATCACAATACTCTACCATACAGAATCTGGTACAGAATGCACATTAAGTCCATTTACCACAGGAGTCTGAACTCACTATTTAGTCTGAATGATGATATTCTCAAGTATACACACTTCAATATCCAAACACAAAGAATAATGGTACATTTAATCAGTTAAGTTCAGTTTAAGATCTCTAGTAGTACTTTTTATATCAACGACTATTAGGAAAATAAGACACTGAACAGTAAAGTTGTAATTAAATCCCTATTCCTCTGCGCAGAGTTAAGCCTTCCTTCTCCCTTAAATATTGTGATTTATTAAATGGAAGACAAGACTGACACAGAGACTAACTCCAATATTAGAGCGCTAACACCACTGTGCCCCGCAGCCCCACTGAAAAAAATATGGTGATACAAAAACTTTATAGATGGATGTCAGCAGGGGAAAGCGGTGTTCAGTTACATAATCTTGAAGTGATGCTGCGACAAGTGGTCTAAAGGTAATTGTGCCACTACAATCCTTTATTTTAAGTCTCTTTAAATAAGATCACTTACCTAGTTTGAAACTATGACTTTTTCCTAGCATAAACTGCCCATGCACCAGCTAAAGGACTGAATGTAAGAACGAGAGACCAGGCTCTTTAATCTTACACCTACTAGTTCGCTTCCACCAGGCCAAGCAACAGGCAAGTTAAGAACTACGTCCCCCCGTTCCTGAGCTCTAAGGAAGGCTGCCGAGGCAGAATATGGGGGTCCTCTATAGCTACCTGTTTGCCTCTTATCAGGCTCGCCGAGCTGCCGGCGAAGAGACACTGCACAGACCTGGCGCCCCTTGTTTGTGAAGCACTACGGGCGATGCTGGGCCCAGCGCCAGGAGCAGCCGAGCCAAGCCGCGAGTCCGCCACGGCCCGCAGCAGCCCTGCCTGGGCTGTTTCACACGATCGCTCAACCACGCTCCTGGGTGAAGGCGTCGCCGGGGGGGAGAGGGGGGGGAAACAGCCCCATGGGCACCTCACACCTCCGTCCGCCCCGAGGGCGCCCCTCCTGAACACCCCCAGCCCCTCGCCCGGAGGCAGGCGAGCCCCAGACCCTTGCCCGCCGCCTTACCTCGCTTGCTGGGCCGCCCAGCTGCCCCGTCCCCGGTACTCCCCCGCTTCCCCTTGTGCGGCTTGGCCCCGGCGGGATGGCCGGGCTCGGAGTCCCCAGCGGGGCGATGGCGGTGGTGGTGGTGCCGCTCCTGCTGCGGAGGTCCCTGCGGTAGACTGAGGGGAGAGAAGGTGAAGAGCCCCGCGGCGGCGGCGGCCGGGGGCAGGCCGGCCGGGGGCATTGGCTCCGCCGAGCTGGGCCCCACCAGGAGCGGCTGGCTCAGCCTGGCCCGCTTGCCGCCGACAGCCTCGCCAGCTGGTCCCCGCCGCCTCCTGCCACCACCCCGGGGCCGGCCGGGTCGGTCCCCCGAGGGTAGCGGGGGTGACTCCTCTGGGCCCCGGGATACGGCGCGCACCGCAGCGACCTGCGCAGCCATTTCACAGGCTCCCTCACACACATTTAAATGGCCCGAGCGCCAGCAGCCAACGCGCAGGCGCCAAGTGACGCCTCATGGGAACTGTAGTTCCACCTGCAACGTCGGGCCTTGACGTCCTAGTCTCCAAGCGCATGCGTACACGCAGAGCCTGCTGGGAAAATTGTGCTGGGTTCTGGGAGAGAGAAGCGTGCGGCGAGTCACGCAGGCTGAGCCAGTCACGTGGGCTCCTGGGGAGCCCAACGGTCATAACGGCCCAAACACCCGAAAGAGGTGAGGCGCGTGCGCCGCCCACACGGCTGTGCTGCCGTCCTGGAGCCAGAGTATCCGCTCCCCGTCGAAGCCGGCCTGCCTCGCCCCCGCCTGCCCCTTCGGGCTGGCCTCCGCGCCTCCAACCCCACACGCCTTCCCCTCAGAACCGCCTGGCGCTCGCGGTTCCCTCTCACAGCCAGCCCCGCCCACGCTGCCGCGAGCCAAGGGGCGCTGCGCTCTGAGCCCCCCGCTCGGGCCAGGCCTGTGCCCGTAGGTGAGGGTGGGATGCGTCCAGCGTGTCTTACACCGCAGAGAGGCGCGGTGCGTGGTCGCTGAGTGCGGGCTGCAGCCGCCTGGGCGCAGCGGCGCCACGGTACGTTTCATCCACCCGGGGTGAGCGTGGATGCCCCGTTCAGGTTTTGGCCCAGTTATCACTGGCCGTGCAGCCGCCCGGTGCCCGCACCCTGCTGTTCAGCTGCGGGGTTTACAGCTCTCCTCACGCGGTGATTCCGTGCGCCTTAGGGTGCCCGTAGCGCCCCGGCCAATTTAATGTAAAAACTGTCTCTGGCCTTTAGCTTGATTCCCTGCTTAAACTCGCAGAAACTATTTTATCTACTGAAACGAATAGCCCAAAGACTGAAATACTAGGTCACCATCCGACTCTTCAGTTAATCGCTAGAGGGGGCTCAAGAGTTTCCTCACATTAGAAAAGGCTTTAATTTAAATTACTGGAACTGAAGAGAGTAAATCAAGAGGTGAGCAGAACACCCACACATTTCTCTTACCCAGTGCAACCACACAGTTGCTTAAGAGGAAAAAAAAAGAGTTTATTTGATGCTACATGGGATCTTTCTCTGCTACTCAGGATAATATATGTACCTTGAGACACAGCATGCTATGCCGTACAGGTGCCATTACCCACACACAGCCACAAAGCAGAATACAGAGTATTGTAGAGATGCAAATCAGTTACAGTACCTTATTTGGGCTGGAGCCAGCTGAGTTTGGCAAGTCTACTGTAACATTTGTCAAGGCATTTTAATTGGATTGTAAACTCCCTGTTTGTCTCTTATACAGTGGTAGTCATGCTAACAGCACTTAAAAATTGCAAGGTGGTGATTATCTCACTATGTACATGAGTCTGTTATGTTATGAAGAGCATGGGAACTCAGAACATAGTCAAAAGAAAACAGATATCAGTCTCCTGCCCTGTCAGTCTAACTTGGCGCCTCAGCTGGTTAAAACATATACAAGAAATGTTGTTTTGGCCATATTGCCCTACGCTTTGCATCCCCCCTCTGGCTTCCCTCTCTCTCCGTCACACAACAGCTACCTGTATGCACTTTCAGGATTTGTCTATCCCCACCCTATCTATCATCTTTACTAATACTGATGTGTTGATTCTTGCCTCCCAATGATGCCAGCCTCCATTGCCTTGCCTACTAGTTAAATTTTAAAGCAAGCATCTTTGGGCTTACTTCTGTGTTGCCCTTTGTGCTTGGGAGGAGCTCTCTAAACTCGCTATCTCATAATCCTTTAAATTCCCCCCTAAAACTCTCCTTTGCCATCATGTCTGTGAAAGACTTGACAGCTATTAGGCCCATTATGCTATCAATACTGTTTTATTGTTTCCTTGTAATCCTCCATTTGTCTGTATCCAGCTGTTGTCTCTTGTATTAGATTAGGGCATCTTTCATCATTGGGGAAGGAACCATATTATTGTCTTGTGTTTGTACAGTGTCTAGCAGTGCACCGTGGGGTCCTGGTCCATGACTAGGGATCCTAGGCGCTACAATTATAAAAATAACTTCTATAGGAATAAGAGGAATGGTTCTATCCTTTGAACACAAATGAAAAATGAAGATTTGATTTTCTGTAAAGGCCTATCTACATTACAGCAAAAATGAAGGGATAAAATTACAAAACACTGAATATTTGTAAAATGGATGGGACTTAATTTGGTTATATAAGCAGGCTAAGGCCTTGCAATGTCCATGACTATGTGTAACTAATGTAATTGACTCAGTTGTGTTTGTGATACAAATGAGCCCTTAATCTGTTTGGTTACTCACATTTTTGCTTTCATGTAGATGGAGCTCCCTATCCATATGACTTTAATGCTAGTAATGGGAGTACTTGTGGCACCTTAGAGACTAACCAATTTATTTGAGCAGTCTAGCTATTGGCACTTCAATAAACATTAAATTATACTTTATTTTTTATTTATACAGCTCTAGCATTGGTGCAAGGCACTCTAAAGATAAGCATGCAATATTCAGTGCTCTTTAAACTTGTAAAAAAAAATAAAAAATAAAAACTGGTATGCTGGATAAATAAACTTTATTTTGTATAGCATCTTTCATACACATCATAAAATGCTTCACCAATTCAATACTCCACTGAGATTTTATGTCATACTTCTAGTTATTACTTTGTCAATATTTTTAAAAATAAAAGGCTAGCTGTCAATTTAATTTGTCCAATTTGATACCAGAATCATTTTTTATATTGTCTTAAGGCTGCTCTAGTTTACACTAGGCCTCAAGCAGGCCCCAGCTGTCCCAAAATTAGAAGAGCACAAAGAGGTCTTGCAGCCTTCTTTGTTCTCCTCCCATCCATGCTTGTCCCAAACATAGGATCAGCTTAAATGACAATCAAGTCACAGTACTTGGGAGTTCCCTTATCAGAAACCAGTTACATCCAAACTGCCTGTGGTTGTAGCATACCCTTTCAGCTAGTAAAGAGTAAGTTCTTCTCTGTGTAAAGGTGCAAAACAAAGGGATTCAATTTAGTTCAGTGGCATTAGCACTTTGGAGATAACTAGGGAATACATACAGTGAATTGATCATAAATTAGACATATGGTTTCAGTAATTTTTGCTATATTAGAAAATAGTTGACTTTGAAAAAAAATGCTACAGGTACTTTTAGGGCTGTATACTCAGCATTTGATCCACAAAGCAACTTGATATCAATGAGCTCTGTACATTCTGTTATTCATCACTGGGTTTTGCTGTGGACCAGAGACTGCATATGTGGCCCTAAAAATACCTGCAGTATTTGTTTCCAAAAATCAGCTTTTTTTTCTGGAAGAGAGCAAAACATATTAATCTGACCCCATATATTAGCAAGAAAACAAGCTTTCCGATTTTAGGGGGGGGGAAGTGTTCAGGTTGGGGATTTAAGTGCCAACTGTCAGCATGGAACTTTGTGTTGCATTTTTTAGGCGAGTTACAGACATTAAAATTTGCACCATGAAAGCCCAAACTATCATGCACTTAAATTTTGCTTGATGTGGAATTTTTTCAATAGATTATGCAGTGTTTACACATGCAAGTTTGGTTCCTATATGAACAGTCAGCATCTTAGTCTTCCTCTTTGGATGGAAACTTAGAAAGATAAATTATCTGATTAATTCAAATGGAAATAATCATAATGTTAATACAATCATTAAGAAAATAGATGAGTTCTGAAATCTGAGAGCCTGATTCTCACTTAGACCCTGACTCTACAAACACTTAAGCACATGCATAACTTTAATTATGACTACACATGAGTAAAGTTATGCATGTGCTTAAGTGATGGGAGGCTCTGAACCATCATTTTGCAGTGGTGTCACTTGATTGACTTAATTGGGACTTACTACTGTGACAGGAGAATCAGGTCCGTTGTCATATAATAAATTATAAAAAAAGGATATAAATTCTCCAAAAAATTTTTAGCCTGTTTTCAGAAACAGTTTTATAAGGAAAACATTTTTCCCTGAAATGTTTTTAGTTTACATCCAGATATGTTTTTAGTTTACATTAACTGGAAGGGTCAAGCAGCTTATGTGCATTTGTGTATCCCTCTTTATATAAAAACCATTTAGGAGAGCTTGTATGCTATTCTGTGGTCACAACCAGACTTTCTACAGCGAAGATCATTTTTAGTGCTACTGTTCTGATAGCAGTTCTGTAATGTGAAGAGCATGTGCAGCATGTTGGAGGGGTATGGCAAATCTGCAGTATTGCAAACCACATGCATCTGTAAAGTTGAATTAAATATTCCAAGATGGTGGAGGATTTCTTGGTCCTTTAGGTTTTGAAAATCGATTTGTAAAGCCTGGGAGCAAAAACAAAATATTACAAGAATACAGTAAATATACTACCTATATTTTATACATTGCTCATATAATTCCATAAGAGATTTGTTTCTGAAGAGATTTGGGTTTTTACACAATATGCAGTATATTACTTTAGTCATGTTAATTGAATATAATGATATTAAACAAAGAATGATAATGTTTATATAAGACAACTGCTATGCACATGCAGTTATATTAAGGCACCTCATAACCTAGAAACCGTGTCAGGATTTGACTTTATGAAGTCTGTGGTAATATTAAGTTTACTCAGCAAAAGTACTGTCAGGTCAATGATCTAATTCAATATGGTGTCTTCAACAGCATCCAATATTGGGTGCTTTTGAAACATAAATGCATGTAATTGTGCTACACTATACTGTGGAAGGATGTTTCTTTCTGATCTCAACTTGGGATCAGCATATGAGACATCACAATTGATAGCTCTTAATTTTAGTCTAGCTAGTGAGACTGTGGATGCCATTTTCACATGAATGTTCAAATTCTTCTTCAATCTTGAAAATCTGTGTGGTTTTAAATAATATCCTGTGCTTGTGAGTTCCACAGATTAGCTGTAGCAACTCTTATCCTACAAATAATAGAATACAACAGTACTGTATAAGGAAGTCTGGTAGCAAACAGGATAATTGAAACAAGCATATTAAGAGCATATCAATAGGATTATGCCAAACATCCTGTAGCTTTTGCTGGTCCATGAGTTACATGACATTAGGCAGCAGCCACTCTCATTAGCCTTTCAATGTGGAAAAGTTAAATTGTATCTTCTGCTGCCTCTTTTGCCACATTTATCTTGTGCAACATTTTGCCACAGAGCAGCCAAATGTTCATTGTATGTGCACCCTGTGTGTTGATACACAAGTAATATTTATGTTACAGGGTTTCTGGTCTGTCTAATTTTATCTTTATATAAGGCATATGTAGTTTATGAATAAGTAATATATATATTAAAAATAAACTATTTTAAAATTATTAAGTTATAAGGTCACTTCAGCTTTAATCAAATCTGTAGTCTTAATTTTTATGCACACGCGTTTGCAATAAAATGACACAGACCACCAGGCAATTGCTGCAGGGCCTGGTAAGAAGTGTTTGCAATCATAATTAAGGCACATATTAAAATTACTTTTGCATCATACACTTACGCACCCATTTGGTGATTCATGTCACTTTCCTTGCCCTAGCTAGTAGCTGGGCTCCATATCTCTATCTAGTCTTTTAAAAGTCTTTGTAGTTAACATAGCAAAAAGTCCAAATAGAAAGGAATGATGTGAAGAACATACCGAAGCTCAGGAAAGAGCTGGAGTGGTTTGACTGGGCAGATTCTGGTGGTTTTGCCAGTGAAGATGGGCTACAGATGTCTAGAAACACATAAGAAAACTTTAGCAGCAGATGGCCACTTTAATTGCCTAAAAATGTCAGATATCAGAGACAAATAAACACCTTCTCACCTCCTGTGAGGGGAGGCTATATGCAGATTGTTACTTTAACATGAGATGTAATCTCCCTAACATACAAGCTGTATGGGCATGCATGAATAATGAAGATGTCATAGTCCAATACACTGGGCATCTTGTTTGCTCAGAGTCAGTTTGAAATTTTAAGCTATCCAAGTTTTAAAACAAGTCGTTTTAATTTCACAGACTCAGCATGGAGTTAAAGTGACCATATAATCTTAGAGAGAAATTCCTTATTAATGTATGAAACACAGGAGGGAGTTGCATTCCTTGCAAGATCCAAGACAGAGGCAAATGTGACTGTATGCCATCTTTGCTTTTCCTTACCCCCACCCAGTCATGGGGCCAATTTAGCCTATGGCATAATCTACTGTAGCCATTAGTTTGCTCTAATTTGCATCCACTACAATAGTCTCCCAGGCTGGTATGCCATCTCATAATTCCTAGAGTACCTCAGCATTCAGGTCACCACCCCAACATGCCTCCTACTCTGGAGCTAGGATGGGGGAATGACATAGAACGGAATACTCTGGATGTATGCCACTTGGGAATACCCCTGTGCTGGAGGAAATCCACAACCAGTTTGTTAAGGCAGTTTTCCACCTGCTTTGTGCTACTAGAGTGATGGAAAGCAAATGGAACCGAGACCAGGATCTGGACTAGGAGTGCCCATCATAATGGGATAACAGAGCATTGTGAATGAAAGACTGTCTTGGCAGCTGCAGTTAGAGAATTGTCCATCATAACCAGTGCTCAGTAAGAGAATATCCCTGTGGATATGGAGCCTGATCTTGCAGAACCTTACTTACACAAGCTGTCATACTGTTTTTGATAGAATTACTTTTGGAGGAATAGTATAGGATCAGACCCTACACTAGTCCTCCAAATGGTGGCAAATGAAGTGATAATATAAATACTAATAATACTCTTAATTCTGCTACAGGTAAATGCTTTGCTATTACATTAAATCAACACATTTGTTTTACAATATGTTTTTGGCTGTGACTAATTTAAAAGTAGATGGATCAAATGTTAGGATGCCTGCAGTTTTAGGTAACACTTTTCATATGACAACACCTCAGAATGCATGGGAAAGGCTGGGCAAAACAAGCCAAAAGATTGATTAATTTCTATGCACAGGAAGTGGGATGACAGGCCAACGCTGATTTCATATACACTAGCAACCTTGATCTTGAGTGAGCCCATTAGCATAATGGCTACATTGAGACATATAGATCTTTAATTAATTCAGTCTGTTAAGTGCATTGAGATGTCCAAAAGAAAGGTATTAAAGAAGAGCAACAGATTATTCATCCAGTCAGCTGGTGAGTACCCTCAGCTCCAATCAAGAGCAATAGGAGTAAAGCATCTTGCTGGTTCAGGTCCTAAAATAGGTAACAGATCTGTTTGCTACATTACATATACCCCACAAGACAGACAGACAGACTTGTTGATGATCAAGAGACTTACTCTTTTTCATGTTACGTAAAATTTTCAAGCTCTGTAAAAAAAAAGTTTTTAAATTAAAGATTTTGTTGTTGAGAGAACTATTTGCATCAAGCTGGAGATCAGTGCCTGCTGGTGAAGAGAATTCACTGCTGAACAATCATGCAAAACAGCATGCATATATCATGTCACAAATGCAGAATCCTACAGTTTCCTTTGTTTGCTGGCTTACCTTAGCCAAAATGTAAACTTCCCAGAGTGTACAGTTAGAGCTGTTCAAGCTATACTTTTCTCAATAACTCTTCCCTGCAGCAAACACATTCAAAGGCTAAATGAGGGCATTCCCTAGAGTAGCACCTGAGATGGGGGTTGTTGAGGAGTGGAGTCTGTCCCTTAACTGGGAGTTGAGGCCCTACATGAGCAGCTTTTCTGAGAAGAGTTGGCATGGTACATGGAGAACTGATCGCAGTTAGGCAGCCAGTTACATAGCTCGACAGATTGCTTTTGTTCCTGTTGTGCAACTGTGAATCTTTTCTTCTTTCCTGCAGCTCTGTTTGCAGTGTCACCACAGAATATACTGCCTGAACGCATTCTCTTGTCATAAATACAAGAAGTCTCAAACCCAGGACTCTTTTCTCCTGTCATCTACATGAGGTAAGTGATAAGAAAATAACAGCTACCGCAGCTAGAAAGCTGGAACTGTCTTTCCTTCCCTTTTTCTCTCTCAGATATCTTTACCTTACTCCTCCTGAAGCATTTCACAGACTCTTTTGATGACTCTTCAGAAGCTTTATTTCCTGAGTCCCCAGGGTTGCTAGTGGAAGTCCTCACAGTAGGCTGCAGACCTAGGAAAAGAACACACAGCAAAACATTTCCAGAAGACCACATGCACATCCTCCTGCTTCATTTCTAAGCATCCTGTGTGTTATATTTACAGTCTCTTTATGCATCAATTCTTGAAATTGGTGGGTTTTTTTTAACGTTTTGCCATTTTGTTTGTAATCTGCCGAGCAAATCTCCTAGTTGCAATTTTTTTTACATCCATTATATTCTCCTAAGGGAAGTAGTGGAAGCACCATTATGTGGGATATTTAAAGCTAGACCAGGAATACACTGTGAAGTACAACTAGCAAGGAGTGGGGGACAGGGTATGATTAGAGAGGAACTCCAAGACTCTTCCATCTCTGATTTCTGGAATCGTCTTTATTCAGTTAGCTACAGGTTTTTCAGAGAGGAGATTTTATTTGCTTGGATACCTGGTCTGGTTTCCTTCAGCTAATCCTTTAACTGAAATTATTGTGCTAAATCTCTGTTACAAGTGAAGAAGACATTACTACTTACTCTCCTCATTGGCAAGAAAGAATGACTCAGGGGTTCTTTCAGGAAGTGGAGGAGGGGAGGAAGAGCGATCCCGTTGTTTCTCTGAGATATCAAGTGTGACACAACCATGGGAAACAAAACAATACAGTTTATTAGCTTTTTTAAATCCTGTGTGACACGGTCAGACTGGTCAACTTGGGTATGACGCATGACAACTTAAGAGGCATTGAAATGTAACAAAGACAACTTACTTATATGTGAATTTCAAGATGTACTAGACCAGCAATCATTAACCCATTTATCAAGGATAGATGCTAAGTGTATTTGTCTGTGTTTATCTGTATCTTGTTAGAAGTTTAACAATGTAACCAGATTAGTTTGTAGATGCTAATTCCCTTTCATGTCTTAATTGCATTATATTCGGCATGCAGATGGTTCAGTAAACCTTAAGATCAAAGATGCAAGATAATGCAGGAAACTAATACAATTTACATTGTCTTCAGCTTAACTATCTATGCTATAATGAACTACTGTCTAATTGTCTTATGTGAATGAATGCAACTGGTTTACCTGTGTATGCTTAGGAAATAGATTAGCTTCAGAGCAAAAATCTGCACTGCCTATTCTTCATTGGGGGAAGGTCTTGCTGTGACAATTGCTGTGAGGAGGCTTATCAGCTTGCTAGAGAACTATAAAGGAAGCTTCAGGCCTGATCCTTTTCATCTCAGTTCTGCTTAAACTTTAACAGGGAAGGTTTAAGCCATAAAACTGAGGTTTCCGAGTTTACCTGGGAATTCTTATGGAAGAGCTTCAGCAGATGCTACACCTGGATTGCCTGTCTACTGGATTATAATCTTTTAAACTGATTCCAGAAAGACTTTTACAAATAAGCAGCCTTACCTTCTCTGCTATGAAACTGACCTAAGGACTTTACACATATTTGTATGTATATTGATCTTTTAACCTTTTGCACTTCTTTTCTTTTTATTATGAAGCCTTTAGTTTTAGTCACAAAAGGGTTGGCATCAGCATGATTATTAGGTAAGATCTGAGACTCTCATTGACCTGGGAATCAAGGTCCGGTCCTTTGGAACTGGTGAACCTCACATAATGGTGAATCAGGTTTTCAGTAACCACTCACTCACTATATTAGACTTCGCTGTCTGGATGGAAGTCAAGGGCTAGAATGCTTAAAAGGGACTATTTGGCTTCTTGGTGACCAACCTGTTATTATAGAAGCTGTTTTGTTACTGGCTTGGTGAATCTAATTATAGAATAAACTGCCAGTTTTGATGATTGTGTGCCCATATTCCTTGCAGTCTGCCTTGAGTGTAGCATTCTCAGTGTGGCTCATCCAGTCCAGTTCCCATATCAGCGTGCTGAGCTGGACTGGGCTGACATCCCCTATGGTGACCACAGTAATGCAATCAGTATAAATCTACAATCCTTCCCAAGAGAATTTACAAGTGCCCATTCCCAAGAGAATGGCAGAGAATGTTCCCAAGGCAATAAAGAGTCTGAGAAGGAAACAATGACAACTCGTTTGCCTGATAAGACTGAAAGAAACAGTAGCGCAAAAGGATACCAGCTGATTAGGAGATATAAAAACTAACACTAGCTTGGTTGATGCACTAGTTCGTCATGTGTACAACAAAGCTGTTCCTCTGGGCATGGAGCCTAGGGACTTTTACAAAGTACAGTTTGGTACAGTTACAGTACACTATTGAGTTACCTACCAAACAGACAGGTATCTCAATGGACTCAGTGACCGTAACATCAAGATAAACTGTACCTGATCTGGAGCTCCGGAGCTTCACACTCTGGAAACAAACAAAAAGGGAAAATACCTGAAATTCCAAAAGCCAAATGCAAATCTTTATATTGTGAGCAAGTAGGCAATGAACAGGAAATGATGTTGTTACAAGCACTGAAACACCCACATACATACACCTCCTACTAATGTAATGGAAGATGAGTTCTATATTTCTTATACTCTTGTTATTAATTGAATCTATGTTTCAGAGGAAGGATGATCGTGTGGTTAAGACACTTGCTGGGGGGTTCAATTCATGGTTCTTCTGCAGTCTCCCTGTGTGACCCTAGGCAAGTCACTGTCAGTCTCTGTTCCTCATCTCTAAAATGGGGGAAACAATATTTTCCCATCTCATATGGGAGCTGGGAAATTCATTCATGGTTGGGAAGGACTCAAGCCTGGTCTACACTTCAAACTTAGGTTGACATAGCTATGGCACTTGGGTAGGAAAAATCCGCATGCCCGAGCACCATTGCTATGCAGACCTAACCCCCAGTGTAGATGCAGCCAGGTCGATGGAAGAATGCTTCCATTGACATAGCTACTGTTGCATGGAGAGGTGGAATTCCTACAGCAATGGAAAAACCTCTTCTGCCGCTGTAGCACCGGTGTCTCAGATGCTACTGTGAAGGGGACCCAGGGGTGGTGGCTGGAACCCGCCTTCAGGGAGGCTAGCCCCCAGCTCCGCCCCTTCTGCCCATGCATGCCTCCCCCCTGTGGCCAGAGCCCTGAGACCCCCTGATCTCCTCTGCAGCCAGAGCCCTGAGACCCCCTACCCCACCCTGCCTGGAGAAGCCCAGAGCGCCTCTCCACATTGGCCAGAGAAACCACAGGCTGGCTGAAGCCCCGAGGCTCCCCACAACCTGCCTGGAGGTGCCTGGGCCAGCCGCAGCCACTCCGCGCCTCTCCTCCCCAGATTCCAAGCTGCCCCAGGGAAAAGAATCTCTTCCCGAAGATGCTTTTGATATGCCCAATGCAGGTTCCGGGATGGCTGAGGAGGTGGTATTTGCTACTCAACTTCCTGGGTTCATCAGTAATCTCTGGAGTCCAGGGAGATTACTGATGAACTCAAGAAGCTGAATAGCACATACTGCCTCCTCAGCCACCCCAGAACCTGCATGGAGCACAATAAAGCTAAAACTTTGCCGGCAAACCCCACAACCAGGGGTCTGGCGGCCACAGCAGTCTCCCCAGGCCTATTATACCAACCGCCCATGAGGGGACCCCATAGATACCAAGACACATGTAAAACTGGCAGCTCGGGTCACTTATGTCATTAAATATCCTAGAGCACTTTTCACAAGGGGCTTAATTCATAGTGGAGCCCTAGTCAAATTTCATTACATTCCACTTTCCTAAATTCCCCCTGCAGTTTCAGATAAGTTATTCTTCACTTGGCTACTATGCCACCCCAGAATTAGCTGCATTTCAGGGGTGAGTTAGTGACACCCATGTAGACACTTGAGGTGTGTGTTTATCTCAAGTTAGCTAACTCAAGATTAAGTCCTAGTGAAGACTAGGGAAATTGGTTGTTTTAACACAGGTTAACAGGTTAAAGTAAATCCTAGGCTCCCCAGTTGTCTTTACCTTGACTTGTGAACTCATGTGAAAACTACTAGCTACTTTACCTTGTGTTATCTATCTCAAGTTAAAAACACACCTGTTTTCCTAGTGAAGATGCATTCTTGTAGAGAGCTTTGGGATCCTGCAGGAAGAATGGTGCTATATAAATGAACATGGTTATTTTTAATTGGTTAGGCAAGTTCATCATTATTTATGCTTGTAATACAAAAGGGCAATCTCCAAATATTTGTTCGTAACTAAGTTTCCTAATTTCCTGATAGTCCTTGTTTGCCACTTCACATCTGTTGCATTACAAGTTGCTGCTGGGTATATTTTTAAACATCTTTCTGTGTTAGCTACATTAATATAGGATCCCAGTTCATTGCTTTCATGCTGATGGGATGGCTACACAGTGACTGATTGACTCATGTCTCCCTCTGCACTATCTCCTCTCCCCATCCCCAGTGAAACTCTGGAATGTATTTTGGTCCTTATGATTGTAGACATTAATGTGGGGGCTAGTGGTACTTCTGTTTTCTCTTAAACCACATTGGCTACTACCCTAGTAGTCTGTCATGACAGCCTTAACTAAGATCACTTCTGAAGATTGAACTCTGAATCTGAAATCTGCAGTAGTTTAAGAAAAGCACATGCCATCCAGATTGGTGTATTCCTTGCAGAAGCAGGGAGCATTACATGGGGATCTGCATAGCAATATTGCTGTAGAAGAGATAAAAACGTCACTTTAGTTACCTTACTTGGTCTCAGTCTTACTGAGTCATCAAATATCTTTGGCTGAGACACCCCACTCCATTCTGAAGAGGTTCCAATGTTTATATTTCTTGGTACAGGTTGGTGGTTTGACGTTGCCAATGGAGGTTGACCTGGAAAGAATTAAATGCAAGAGGGATTTTTTTCACTTTCTGGGTAGCCCAAGTAATTCGTTGTTGGATTCTGTGACTCAAGCACTGAGCAAATCATCAGAACGGTCACCTCAGCACTTCTTAAATTAGCACTTAAATATTTGCACTTACCAGTTTCATTGGCCACAATAAAGGACTCTGGGGTTCGCTCAGGCAGAGGGGGAGGAACATCATCGTCTGGATCTGGAGAAGCTTCTAATTAAAGAGACAGGGACAGTTATTTGGATTTCTTTGGACAGTCCTGCCATTACCACAATACACAGCTAAGAAGGGTCCCTACAAAGCTGTGCAGCCTTGAGAACTGACTCACCCAAGTCATTTAGTCCACCTCAAACATCTAATATAAACCAATTGTTGACAGTCCATCTTCCCACCAAGAAAAAAATCATCACCATTTTCCCAGGCTGTAAGGGATACCCCCATAAGCAATCCACAGAGCTTGAATCCCATCCATCTTGAGCCCTGGCAGCTGTTACCCAACCAGGCACCATAGATTGTGATCAAAATCTTCTAAAACTTTATTTTTAAAATCTAGGTATATTCCAATATGATTTCCACTTGCTCTAGATAATTATAAAACTGTGTGCCTGCTGTGTCAGCAACAGAACACCCATTGTGGAGCAGGATCAGTTCCTATGCATGTTAACCTGCATAAACTTAAAATTAACATTGTTACTACTAGGTGGCAGTTGTGTTGGTAGCTATGCCAACCTAAACTCCAGTATAACACCTTCAGTCGGGGATTAGGGGTCTGAAATCCCACAGAAAGCTGGAGAATTTCCAATGATGGAGGGACCTCAGAGCACTTTTGACATTTGGGTCCTAAAGAGCCTGAACAGAGCAAAGGTGGTTTTAGTTTTATTTATTTTTTACTCCACAACTACAGCAATTCCAAAGTAACTGACAAATATTGCACTGATACCATTGACTTGGACATGAAGAGAACAATCCTGTACCCAATGGAAACTGTGGAGTAAACTTTATGTGGGCAGAATGTAACTTTTCAGGCTTAAGTTCAGCCAGAACACCAGGAGTGAAATCCTGGCCCTATTTATCTCAGTGGGAGTTTTGCCACTGACTACAATAGAGCCAGTATTTTCCCCAGGGTTCCCATCCAGAATTCTTTCAGAAACAGCTATGGAATCTTTAAATGACTGAGGGAAGGGATCCTTAGAGGAGTCACTAAAACCACTTCCCACAGCTCCCTTGGTTTTCCGTGGAGTGATCCAATCCAAGTACTAATCAAACCCAACCTTGGTTATCTTATATCTGCCGAGGTCACAGCCTGAGGTGATGTGGTAGCATGGAGCAGAAGTATTAGAGGGATTCTGATGGTCATGCTACCCCAGAAAATTATGGCAATTTCTATGGAAAACTGAGGCAGAATCAACAGTTTGAAGCCCAGTTCTACCCACCACTCTATGGTTGTGGTTTCTACTGAAGTCAGAAGGAACATTTGAGTCCTTTGTCCAACTGACAGGTTTCAGAGTAGCAGCCGTGTTAGTCTGTATCCACAAAAAGAAAAGGAGTACTTGTGGCACCTTAGAGACTAACAAATTTATTTGAGCGTAAGCTTTCGTGAGCTACAGCTGAAGTGAAGTGAGCTGTAGCTCACGAAAGCTTACGCTCAGATAAATTTGTTAGTCTTTAAGGTGCCACAAGTACTCCTTTTCTTTTTGTCCAACTGAGTGGGAGTTCTGGATTTGGAAACAGAACAGGCTGCAGGAAAATCCTATGTGAATTTCAAAAAGGTATCACACAACACAGGGTAAGACCCCGGAATAAGTGAGCTCAGATGGCAACACTGCCAAACAGCTTACTCTGCAAGGATGCCTGCCTACCATCCATTGGGTGAACATGCTGGGACAGAGATGTTGTCACTGGAGGACTGGCCATGGTAGAATCCAAGGGCTGGATTGTGGAAGTTGCAGCAGGGAAAGAAAGAGAAACTGTTTCATACAGCTCTGAAAAGTAGTCAGTAAACATCGGGGATCCTGGATCATCTGAAGACAGCGAAGAAAAGTAAGGGTCTTCCGCCGAGCAACAATGTGAGGAAGGATGTGGGCCACTGCTCATGTGCCGTGGGGCAGCGTCTGCCAGTCTGCTTGAATGGTTCAGTTCAACAGAAGAAAAGTCTGTCTGCCTCTTAACCTCAAAGCCCACAGAACTGCAGGAGTTTGGTAGCCAGGGGTCCAAAGAGGGTACTGCATCCCCTCCATCCAGTTCCTGGGTGTCTCTCTGTTGCAGCAACTCAAAAGGAGTTGATTTGGTTTGTATTAATGGGGCCTTGACACTAGGGTTTCCCCTACATGCAGCTGTAGATTTCAGATTCAGAGGAAGCTCCTCAGAAAAACTGCTGATCAAGTCTAAGCTGTGATGTTTCTGGAGTGGTTCCCCAGACAGCAGAGTGTCCCATTTCACAGCGGCACCTGCATTCTTGCTACTGCTGAAGTTCAAGGCCCCAGAAGAAAGGGCTTGTCTAATGGGAGAAACACTGTGCCCATAGTTGTCATGTACTGTTGAGGGCCTACAGCTTGACGCATCAGTCAGTGATATTTCCCCTTGTACCATATGATCAGAACTTTGATGTAGCTCCTGTTCCCCTCGTGCTGAACTGCAATAAAGTACAATTATATGAGAGCAGAACTATTTACTGCTCAGAAATCCCCATTACTCTATAAGCAGAGCTCCACAATGTTTTAACCCCAATGTCCATACAAGAGCAAGTCCCCAACAGTCCTTGCCATGTTTTTAGGGGGAAGCTCATCCTGTGCATTGAGCCTACACAATGCTTGTGGACCAATGAAGTCATGATTGAGCCTTACTTTGAGGGCTTAAGCCATGAATAAACCTGTGCTAGCCCCTCTGCATGGGTGAATTTTACCAAACAGCAAAATAAGTGTTTTCCTGATCAAAACAGAAGATGCAAATCAAAATCAATCTTTCTTCTAAAATATATTGAAAAAGAGACCCATATAAATTGGACATTTGGTACCTGAATCTTTGTAGGCAATTACCATGTCCGTGTCTCCCTAAAAAAGTGTCTATTTTTGTTTCAGTGTTTTGTGTGCGCTTATTATGACCATTCTCTATAGACACACACAGGATCTAAGTGTTAGAAGAACAGCCACATCGCCAGCTGATTACATAATGTTATTTCATCCTGGAATTGGAAGTCACTGGCGCATGGCACTTGCACCATGTGTGTCTAGATTAGACCTGCCCTTACCAGCTCGGTAGTGTCAGAGAATAAGTTTCTTCCAGTGGGCTCAGAAGCGGCTGGAGCCTTGGATGGTTTGTTTGAATCTATTGAAAGAGAAGGTTAGCTCATATTATAGCAAGACTGTCAAGGAAGCATGCAGGCAATTCACAAGGTTTCATTTCACTTTGTTATTCCTGGTGATTGGCTCTGCCAACTACCTCTGCCTACCATTGATTATTTGGAAATGGAAATGCAGGAACAGCAGAAACAGACACTGTCTTATTGGAAGATGCATTACATATGTTTTTACAAGAATCAGACTCTTCCCCAGAAAGTTTGCAATGTCTGTGCAGCTGGCTGTGCTTCTAGGACCCACCTGCTATCTGGCTAGGTGGAAGTTGGTTTTGCTTTTGACACTTTAGTTGTGCGCTCATGCCCTTCTTTTGGTAAAGTGTTTTCAAAGGACAGCCAGGTCTCTGCAACTGAGAAGGTTTGGCCAAGAGCTGTAAAACCACATCCGGACTCAAGTGTTTCTCTGCTTTCTGTCTCAACCTGGACTCACATCTGCACCTAACCATGTGACTGTCCACAGCACAAGAGAAGGAAGCTGACTCCCACAATCTGCTCAACCAAGTCTGGCTGAGAAGTCTCTGCAAATACCAATTTATTACAGCATGTCAAACTCAGGTACATATTTTAAAGGGTTCAGTTTGAAAGTTGGGCTTTATTGTGGAGTCAGTCTGAAGACCTTTGCTGAACATGCCAGATATTTTTCATTGTAAGCCCTATTTCCACCCCCTTGTAACTGAGGTTTTTCAGTCTGAGTCTGTTTAGAAATGCTTTTTTTTTTTTTCCCCTCAAGACAGCCAGACAAGCCATGTTTGAGGTGGAGGGCTCTGAGCAATTATAACAAAGAAAGGTCAGAATTAAGAAGTGTTTAACTCTATTTGGGATGTTACAACTCAAATATGACTTGACCACATAATTTTAGACTCAGACACTTCATCCTACATCAGAACTAGTCCACAGGGCTTGAAAAGATGTGGCTGAGGAATTTACATGTATGTTTTCACTGTACATTTTAGCCTCTCTTCTTCCAGGAGTTAGCTGTAATGGGCATTATCTAGCGCAGCTCCTATCTACTTTGTTGGGAGCAGAACCTTTTGTATGTCTTTGATTTGTGTTTTGTTCTCTTACAGTAGATTTTTCTCAGGGGAATTCAGGATCTCTTTTATATTGTTAGATTCTAGTCAAAGCTACCGGAGATGAATAAAAGAGGTGCAGGGCCCAAGCCTGGATTGACAGCTGCTGCTGCCTATATGGCATCTCTCAAAGCAACATGTTAATACTAGCTTTTGCCTCTTATCGCATCATCCATCCCATTTGGCCAGTGCTGCCAGTTTGACCGCCCACCTGTCCAATGAATTCTGAAACTTTCATCTGAAACATGGACAGCCTTCTTGAACTAATCCATAAGGACACTATGCTCTTCTCCTTTTGATCCCTCCTCAAGACCCAGCTCTGCTGGGATGCCTACAATAAATCAGCCAGTCGAGATTGACAGTTTGGGGAAAGTCAATACTTTATTCATTCATTATAATAAACAATTAAACAAAAAAGCAAACGGAGCCCTCCTCTGCATCTTGCTACTGTAACAGGGATTGCATAATGAAGGGGAAGGCTGGGCTTGTGGTCAAGGCACTTGACTGGGATTCAGGAGATTTGGGTTCCATCTCTGGCTCAGACTTCCTGTAGGACTGTAATCTTTCTGCCTCTGTAGAGGGTTAGTGAGGATGAATGCAATAATGTGCATGTGGTGCTCTTATACTACAGTTTTGGGGACCGTACATGCACCTACATAGATTGGAGCCCCTTTGCGCAACCCTAATATAACCATTAAATGTACAAGAGCAGCAACTGCATTCCTTTATTGCAAATCACTTCCCAGTTCAGCAGGGCTTGGAGGAGTTTGAATCTGAGCTAACACATCTCAGCCATAAGAGGACAGCTAAAGGCAGTATGCATTGGGAGGACAAATCTTACCTCTGTGGCAGCAGAGTCTGACTGGACAGAGAGCACTTCAATCTGTCTTTTAAAGAGTTCGATCACAGCATCGTAGACCAACTCATACTGTTCCTAAATAGAAAACAGAAGAAACACAGGAGATGCAGGTATCCCCGTTACTCACATCCACTTCAGACAGCAGCCAGTTCATCTGAACCATGCAACATATTAGCTCTTACAGTGCTGGAAATTCCAGTCCTGGGATTAGGTGAATTCTCAGAAGGGGTTGTAGCTGCTGTTTTCAAATGGTCAAGGTTTGAGTATGTGTTAATAGCAACTGAACAAACATGCTGTGTACTGAACTTCCTCTTCAATACATCCCAGTTGAAGCCAGCTTCACTTACTGGATAGTAACTTGTTTCAGCATAGACAATCACAAGTAGTAAGCTACATCGTCATGTACTCATTTGGTTTCTCCTGATTAGCTTCTTTTGGGAGAGGGTTTTACAGAATACAAAGCAACATGCCTGCTGCACCCAGGGGCTTACCCCGCAGTGTAACAATACAAGTTTGGTTCTTGCAAACCCTGAAGAGAAGTTATGGGTCTGGTTTTATAGCAAGCATTTAGTGGCAATGACCTGCTTGGAGCTTTCTGAACATACCTTGGTTTGCACTATTGATGGCCTTTGTGTGCGCATTTCCTGGACCAGACTAAAAATACTGAAGTTCTCTGGAACAATCTTATAAAAGAGAGATCACGAGAAATTAGAAATGGGCCTGAACCAAAACCACTCCCAAATGGTGATGCAGTTCAGACCTGGATCCAAACAAGAAATCTTTACTGCTTGTGATTTCTCCTTTGAGGAGGGAAATGATTCATCAACACATATCCTGTCCCATCTTCTACTCATTAGGAGGCATCCCCTTCTCTGACAACAGCATGAGAGACAAATACAAGTTCCATGGGGTGCAAAGAAAAGCTGAATTTATGGCAACGTGCCTCCGATGAAGTGAGCTGTAGCTCACGAAAGCTTATGCTCAAATAAATTTGTTAGTCTCTAAGGTGCCACAAGTACTCCTTTTCTTTCTGCTCTGAACTGTGATCTAGATGGATTTTAGTGTCACCATGATGCAGAAAATAGCCACTCCTAAGATCCTGTGTTGAGACAGGCATTCATTCAGGAATTACTTCACTTTATTTTTTTACTTCATTGCTTTTAATCTAGTTTTAGAAACCTGAATTTCTTACACTAAAGGACAGAGGATCAGGACTGCAGCCAGGCACAGGATTGCAGGCAAAAAGCCAGTTTAACAACTGGTGTCAGAGCAGTGGTAAAGCACTGTGACCTGCAGTTCAGGTAGGAGGGTAGCAACAGGAGAGAGGCTTTTATTGGCTCTTTATGTTTTAGATTGTTTTAAGGCCTCAGGAGTGGTTCATATCAGCATGTGGAGAGAACACAAGTCTGTGAGGAACAGTAAACAGTATGGAGGAGGAAGAGACAGGATGAAATTAGGACAACATGAAACAGTATGGAGTTTATTAAACTCATCTGACACTTAACTAATTAGCCTCTCACAGTTTGTATGGCAACTTCCAACTTACCTTTATGTATATATATTTCTTCTTACTATATGTTCCATTCCATGCATCCAATGAAGTGGGCTGTAGCCCATGAAAACTTATGCTCTAATAAATCTGTTAGTCTCTAAGGTGCCACAAGTACTCCTGTTCTTTTTGCCTTCAAAGAGTTGGGCCAGCACAGGTGCTGGAACTAGGGGTTCTGCCGCACCCCCTAGCTTGAAGTAGTAATAGCAACCCAAATACATGGTTTCTGCATTCAGCACCCCCACTATAAAAATTGTTCCAGCACCGCTGTGGGCCCGAGAGAGTTTATGAGAGAATTAGCATGTGAAATATACTCAAAGGCAGCAAGAGAATTTGCTATAATTGGGAATATGATTCAAAAAAGACTGAGCCAGACACAGGCACTTTGAGGAGCAGAAGAGCCCAGGGTAAAAACAAGCACTGGGTAGGCATGCAGGAACACAAAAAGACTGATCCCAGGCACTGCTGAGATACTCACCCCATCTTTCAGCAGCTTCCAGGTATAATCAATGGCACAAATAACTCCTGTTCTCCCACAACCAGCACTGAAATAAAAATCGGAGCTCTGAGATTTGAGGAGGGGCTTTGTCTTCACTTATTACTTGACATTCAGCTCTATTTCTTCTGTGTTTTTATTCATGGATCAATACTGTTATTCTGCAACTGATGCAAATCCAAGTCCACATTGCCTACCCATGCACTGTATTTTCTGACCAAAGGCAGACCAATCATATCATATCATATATATATCCTATCAGTTCCATCCCTGAGCCGGCCTCCAATGATGCCTTAAGGAGGGAGCTGGCTGCTGACTCCAGTGCATTGCCCTGTTCATTTCAGCCATGTTACTCTAGAAGCAGCACCTCTAGTGCCTTACTGACTCCCACAGCACGCTGCAGAGCAATCACGTCCACACAGGATTGCAATCTCTGCAAACCGATGTGGCAGCTGTTGGCAACAGAAACGTAGATTTGCCAGATTGTGAGAGAGCATTGGTCCATCAAAACCAGTACCCTCCCTGCATCCATCAGACAACGCTGATTGATGAGCTGCAGGAGGATGAAAAATCCCACGTTGCACTTGAACAAATTCCTTTCATAAACCCTATGTGATCAGTTGATGCATGGGGACTGATAATATTTTTCTTGGTATGTAACTACAAATATAATTGTACATACAAATTAGCCAGCTTTTTTTCTACATCCAACCATTCAGTTTGCTCAGATACAGCTTCTGGCTTTAGAACTTACTCTCCTCAGACAGGGGATTTGACCTAAGACTTTAAAAAGTGACAGGCTTTTTAACCCCCACCTAAACAGAAAGAAAGAATCTATTCCATTCACCTGGGGCTAAATAACAGCATTTCCCTTGCCAATAAAACCTCCTTACCTGCAGTGAATACAGATGGGGATGTTGTCACCTGCCTGGTAGCAGCGCATCTCCCAGATAAGCTTAAGGATGGGGTTGATGGAGGAGGGTACATCATGGTCTGGCCAGTTTTTATAATGGAACTGATAAACAGTGCGAATTACCTGTAAAAGAGAAGAAAGAGGAGGAGCTAAGGCCAGGAATTCTGTCAGTTTTACATGAGGAGAAAGCCCCATGTCTCAGATGTGCAGTCGGTACAGAGCCTACAAACAGGTGTGGCCATTCCAAGATCAAAAAGGCATGAAAAAAGGCAGTCTGTGCTACACCCCCACCAGGCCCATTCACACTATATTTCCGACATACACCCTGTCTGCCACTCCGCAAATGTTCTCTTCGGCCTTCTTCATTTTACACGGCACTCTCTGTATTGCCTGCTAATAGTTTCTAGAGAGGAAACAGTGAGGCAAAGGCCTGGTTTATGCTAGGAAATTAGATCTATATAACTATAAAAAGAAAAGGAGTATTTGTGGCACCTTAGAGACTAACCAATTTATTTGAGCATAAGCTTTCGTGAGCTACAGCTCACTTCATCGGAGCTGTAGCTCACGAAAGCTCATGCTCAAATAAATTGGTTAGTCTCTAAGGTGCCACAAGTACTCCTTTTCTTTTTGCGAATACAGACTAATACGGCTGTTACTCTGAAACCTATATAACTATGTTGCCCACATCCCTGAGTGATGCAGTTAAACTGACCAAACCCCAGCATAGACAGCACGAGGTCAATGGTAGAATTCTCCCTTTGACCCAGCTCCTGGTTCTCAGGGAAGTAGAGTAAGAAATGCTCCGCGTCGGTACAGTAGAACTTCAGAGTTACGAACACCTTGGGAATGGAAATTGTTTGCAACTCTGAAACGTTCGTAACTCTGAACAAAACGTTATGGTGGTTCTTTCAAAAGTTTACAACTGAACATTGACTTAACGCAGCTTTGAAACTTTACTATACAGAAGAAAAATGCTGCTTTCCTTTTTTTTTAAAAAAAAAGTAGTTTACGTTTAACACAGTACTGTACTGTATTTGCTTTTTTTTGTTGCTGCTGCTGCCCGAGTGCACTTCCAGTTCCAAGTGAGGTGTGCGGTTGACTGGTCAGTCCGTAACCCTGAGGTTCGACTCTCGTGTTTTCACTGAAGTGGCACGGCTGCGCTGCTGCTGCGTTTTAAAGTGTGGACAAGCCCTACGTTTTTCTTATCCAGAGAATATCTCAGCTAAAACAGCTGCAGAAATTAGGGTTTGACAACTTGGCTATTTTTACTTTCTTTAGTATATAATCACTATGGAATAAAAAATAACACGCTGTGGAATATTGGCAGCTCCTTCAAAGCTTACTGTAGAAACCCTGTATCTCCTGCAGTCAACAACGGTACCGTTTGATTAGAATAAGCGCAGTAAAGCCAGTTAGATGCTCTTCCTGCCTGGCCATTTCCCTACTTACGTTGTTCAGTGTCACCTTTAGAGTCCGAATCACATATTCAGTTTTCTTTTCCTCCAATTCCTGCAGAAGCAATACATTAGTCACTTTCTGCAGATACGTGGCACTGGTTTCCATAAAGGGTGCCACAGATTGTGGAACACTTGTTAGGCAGGATGGAAAAGGCTGATGTACTTACACAAGTGATGGTGAAAGGACCACACCGGAGTGGGGAATTGCCCACCTCAACCCAGTACCGCTCACACTTTTTCTATTATAAAAAGCAGGAAGAGTCTGTAGTTATTTGTCTCTACACCTGCCTGCCATGTCTCCTGCCTTGTCTTCCCCAATGGACAGTTATTTGTTTTGAAATGCCTGGCTTTTGTTGCTGAGCTGACTCTTGTCTCCTTCTTCCTTGGGGCTCCCAATACACAGTTTCTCCAGAGAGACAGCACCACTTTCTGATGATTCAAGCACCTGCTTGGCTGCTGGAGTGAGCCACCAACATCACAGTGTGTGATCTACAGAGACCTCTCTCTCTTGCAGAAGCTAATCTCACTCTCAGAACCAGTTTGGAGATGATTGAACAAAATCGTGTGCATTTGGGAGTCTCCAGAGATGAACTATTCACTGATTTCTGAATATGAACTAATTCTTTGTGAAACCCAATAGAAATGCACATTTTTCCTCCCCCTGGTGACACCAAGACACTGGCTCCATGCTCCGACACATTACTCACCTTCCCCATTTCAAACTCCATGCAAGCCATAACCACAATCTGTAAAAATAAAGTACATAAAAGCCTGAATGTCTCTTAATCAGGGGAGAAAGGCAGATTTTAGATAGGATAGTTAAGTAGCGGTCAGGGATATTTATCAGTTGTGAGAAAAATTATTTTGGGCCATCATATGGCTCTCTTACTCTGATGCTTCTTAAAATCTGGGCACTGTTCACAGCATGGGTGCCAGAGACCTTTCAGCTCCAAAGCTCTCCCATGGAAGACTGTCATGAGACAATACTCATCCATCATGCTGTTTTTGATAAAGACTCTCATGAAAAATGCAGTGAGCATGGTGCACAACTCATGACCCTGAAACACTGACAGCACATACCCATTATCCAGCCAGTAACACAAATACACAGGAACTTTATAGCAAAGCTGTAAAAATACATAACAGAAAGCACCAATCTGCACCTTACCAGGACTTCATATTCCCAAATCATCCTCCAGAAGTCAAGAACAGTGGTGGAGAGAGGACCCTGGGTAGCTATATAAGCCCTCGGCCCATATACCCCCTAAAATGAAATTCAGATTGCATATGAATATAATATTTGTATGGGCACTAAGCACCCGAAGAGACAGAGCTAACTATAATTTAGAACTGTACTGCATTTACATGAAAAGACTAATGTGCTTTAATGACTAGGACAACTGTAGTTCCTTCAGTTTTTTGTCTGGCTCTCTGAAAAGCTATGTGTTTTAGCCCCTGCAATATCACTAGTTGGACTGACAGTCCAGTCAACAGCTGACTAGCAGAATCTACCCTTCTCTACTGATAGTGAGAGATGGGTTTGGAACAACCCTCGCCCCTCACTTCCAACCAGCATCAATTTTTTTCTATTTTTCGGGGGAGCTTGGTGTCAAATGTTCAAAATACTGATCTGGTCCATATTTTGCAGTTGGGCATATCCCTACTTGTTAATATCCTGGTCTGGCATCCTTTGTAATGGTCTGTACCCTGTACAAAGTGGTTAGGCAACATTCCTTGGCACAGATGGAGGGAAACATCTCTGCTTCAACCACAGCAAGGGGAGAGGCGTTTACAAACTGAACAAAGCTGTAGGGGTGGAGGAACGAGGTACTGACTTGCCCCTTGTTTCTTGCTGGCCACAGATGCCTCGAGTTCTACTGATGTAATTGGGTCTCAGCACTGATGTGGGTGCAGAGCTTCCTGTCTGAGCAGTGGTGTCAGAGGCCTTTGCTAGTGGCAGACAGTGTAGAGTCACGCGCCATTGAACACATACACACAAAGGAATATAAAGCTGATGGGGGACACAGGGCTCTGAGCTTGGAGCTGTGATGTGAAAACTGCTCCCCTCCCCAAAATCATGCACTTCTCATATACCAAAGCCTGGCTTCCTGGACATTTTAAGGGGTGTTGATATGGAGGGTTCTCAAAGGTCTCCTTAATTTCCTGCCAATTTCATTATCACCCCCACCATGGTGAGCAACCCCATAGCCAATGAGGATGGGACGGAGCTCCCTCCAGACTCTGGTACAGCTCTAGATGTATGTACTTATTCTATATCAGCCTGCCACTGTCTGCTCATTCCTTGCAGCACTGCCATGGGAGCTGCCTTTTCACAGCTCAGTGTGATGCACTTGGAAGTATGTACTACAAACCAGGCAATACCTTGATGAAGTTGGCATTTATGTAATGAGAATCTTTATCTGATGTGATGAGGGAGAGCTCCACTCTGCTGTGATCAACTGCAGGGGAGAAAGACAGGAGTAATTATTGTTTTTATTGTATCACATTAGAGCCTAGAAGATCCAAGTTTTGTAGATTTTAAGGCAAAAGGGACCATTATGATCATCTAGTCTGACCTTCTGCCCAGCATAGGTAATAGAATTTCTTATTGTGATTCCTTCATCAAGCCCATATCTTATAATTGAGCTAGAGCACATTTAAATCAAGGCCCATTGTAGTAGACATTGTACAAGTACATAGTATGACAGTCTCTGCCCTGAAGAACTTACATGGAATTAATGTGTCCCAGAGACATCTCTGTCTAAGCCTTACTTCTCTGAAGTTGGACAGCATGCACATTATACAGCAGACTTTCATGTAACAACTTACCTGATAAATAAGAAAAAATATTTTCCCCTACTGAATAACCTACAAATCCCCACAACTATGTATATACATTAAAATATTAAAATGTGACATCTTAAATATGAGTCATGGCATTCAAAGCATATTAGGAGTTGGTCTGTGGAGGGTCACATGGATATATGCACAGGTATGTCTATCTGATGAGCGTAGGAGAGCATGTGCTTATGTATGCATGTCCTGATGTGTGCTGCATAGCCTACATTGGTGTATGCATGCCCATACATGCTAGGCTTACATACTGATGTCTATATCCACGTATGTACTGGGCAGGGGAGGAGGGAGAAGCTAGTATGACAATAACTGGTAAGAAAGAAAGCCTAACTTGCAAATTTGGTATTTTCAACCTACAGGGTAAGATGTCCTTGTATCGATTTTTCTTGATGTTTTCTGGTTGCTCAGACGCTGCAGTAGGGTATATTCTGTCTGATCTGTATTTTGTTGATTGCCTTTTCAGCTTCTGCGGTAAAACAATGGAACAGATTAAAGCGAATGATGTACAGGCAGCACAGTGCTAGAGAGCATGTCTGACGGTCCCTAGGGGGCCAGACTCACCACCACAAAGCAAGGTCTGCACAATTAATTCTTTCCTGATTGGCCTCTCTCGAGGCACTTAGCACGAACAGAGCAACAGTAGCCACTCGAGAACCATTTTGCAGCCAGGACTTCTTTGAAGACCAGAAAGTCTGCATGCTGAGCTGGGGACGCTAGAGGCTCTGACACAGGCTTTTGAAGTGCCTCTTTAGAAAGTTATATATTTATATGGAACACAAAACTTCTGCCGTACAAACTTATCATTTTCAGCATAGATGCCAAGCAGACAACAGACAATAGTGACATTAAGCTATCTCCAACAAATGACAAGCAATTCACTTTTCTCACACTGTAGCGAAGAACTGAAGCATCTTTGTCAAATAATCTCTGGTTTGTGGTACCACCTGAATTAGACTGAGCTGTGCTACAAGAGGAACTGAAGAAAAGCAATTGCAGGTACTGCTGAACGGGATTCTAAAAAAGCCAACACATGGCTCCAAGAGACCTCTAATAAGTCTCTCTTTGGTAGGGTAAGGCTGCTGCATTGTGGATTTTTTCCCCTGCTGCCAGAGAGGTTATATGGAGTTTTGCTGGTGCAGTGTAAAAGGATTTGTGATTTCACTGGGCTGAGCCGTTAGAAACACACCCTTTGCTTCACTACACATTGGCCTTTAAAAGTACTAAACATTTTATTATTACTGCCCCCATTTCTTAATGGTAACATCTGGCCCACTGTGCTCGGTGGTATGACAGGCAAGGAATTAATGCTGCTGAATTTCAAACCAGACAATGAGGGATGGTCCCAACACCTCTGTGCTTTGAAATCCTGAAGTCTAGTGCTCACCTTCCTATTGCTCCTGGAGTTGTGTTATTGTGCAGATCTTTTGTTGCTATGGAATGATTCTAGGAAATGATGGCCTGTTCCATGCTGGCCTTAGTTCTGGCATTTCTGCCCCTGGCAGACCCTAGAGTCTAGTCTCTGGGGAGACTAATGCAAGGGTGCCTGCCAGAGGATTTGAGTGAGGAGCCTCCATCCTGTCTGACAGAGCTGATGCTTTCTTATGCCCTTATAGCCCATTTCATGGTAGCTCTGTGGTTACCTCTGGGATTTGGAGATGAAGAACAGCAAATAAAAAGCTTTGGGCTAAAAGTACAAGGTCACTCAGGCTAATGTTCCCCTTTAGAAGGAACATGTCAGAAAGTCCCTGCTTCAGTTACTGGGGCATGATGGATGGGCAAGGGGGAGGCTGCATAGCTTTTCTTTGCATTTAATATGCATTGAATTACCAGCTGAGGCTGCTCTCCGACAGGATGTGGAAAGCGTGGCTAACCAATCAGGCATTAGGGGAAAAACAAAACACATTGGTCTCATGACACTTGGACAAAAATAGCTCTGTGGTCTGGTGCGGGAGCACTGAGAAGCTGGCATCCCCAAGGGAAAGATGCACTTGGAAGGTAGTTTTCTCCTAAAAACTAACAGGTTCGACTCATAGGTTTATAGGAGCAGAACTCTGCATTTGCCCTCTAGTTGAGGGATCACCCAGCAGTTTGCCAGAAACTCATGAGAGGCAACTAAACTAATTTGCATCAAACAACTGGATAGCAGCACACTTCCTATTTAATAAAGGAGGTGCAGCCCATGAGGACTACAGTCCTAGCAAGCAGTGCTTTCATGATTCCACTTTCTCTGCTGTGTATTGTGCAAGGGAGAAGGTCAAGGTCAGAGCTAGTATCCGCTTACAATTCTGTTACATTTTCAAAGTAAATGTAGTCCTTGCACACAGACGACTGCGAATTTGGAGAAATTGAGCGAACATTTAGGGATTGCATTAATAAAAGGAAAGACTGAGTTTGGAACATTGTGAAAGGTATAGAAAAAGAAACTAGAGAAAATGTTATTTACCCTTTCATACAATACAAAACCAGGGATCACACAATGAAATTTTAAAAAAGGGAAATACTTTTCCACACAATGTACAACTAACCTGTGAAACTCATTGCCATGGGAAGTTGTGGTGGCCAAAAGTGGAATTGGGTTAAAAAAAGAACTAGATAAATTCATGGAGGATAGGTCCATCAATGGGTATTAGCCAAGATGGTTGGACATTACCCTGTGCTTGGGGAGACCCTAAACCTCTGACTGCCAGAAACCATGAATGGAAGACGGGGGTGGATGACTCCATACCTGCCCTATTCTGTACACTCCCTCTGACGCTCTGGTAAGGGCTACTGTTGGACCGAGGACACTGGCAAGATGGACCATGATCTGACCCAGTATGGCAGCTCTACTTTAAGCCCCATTTATCTTTTAATCAATGTGGACAGAATTAGTCACAGTACAAATAATTACTCAGAACTATTATTCAAACAGCTACTATTCATTAACAACTCTTTCTCCATCCCCAAATAAAAAAAAAAGTTGTTTATGTGCCTGTTAGCAGCAGCAAGAGTCCCAGCCAGACATCCCAAGAGGCTGAAGTTCCCTACTTACATGCAGGGGCCAGGGCAGATGCTGTGCAGACATGGCACCAGCCTGCTTCAGGCCTGATGTGGAGGAAAAACCAGCCTCTGTGGCACTTCTGCTGAGACTGCCAAGGAAGAGGCCAGTCATGGTGGTCATTTCAGTAACACAGAAACATAGAATCATAGAATCATAGAATATAAGGGTTGGAAGGGACCCCAGAAGGTCATCTAGTCCAACCCCCCTGCTCGAAGCAGGACCAATTCCCAGTTAAATCATCCCAGCCAGGGCTTTGTCAAGCCTGACCTTAAAAACCTCTAAGGAAGGAGATTCTACCACCTCCCTAGGTAACGCATTCCAGTGTTTCACCACCCTCTTAGTGAAAAAGTTTTTCCTAATATCCAATCTAAACCTCCCCCACTGCAGCTTGAGACCATTACTCCTCGTTCTGTCATCTGATACCATTGAGAACAGTCAAGAGCCATCCTCTTTGGAACCCCCTTTCAGGTAGTTGAAAGCAGCTATCAAATCCCCCCCTCATTCTTCTCTTCTGCAGGCTAAACAATCCCAGCTCCCTCAGCCTCTCCTCATAACTCATGTGTTCCAGACCCCTAATCATTTTTGTTGCCCTTCGCTGGACTCTCTCCAATTTATCCACATCCTTCTTGAAGTGTGGGGCCCAAAACTGGACACAGTACTCCAGATGAGGCCTCACCAATGTCGAATAGAGGGGAACGATCACGTCCCTCGATCTGCTCGCTATGCCCCTACTTATACATCCCAAAATGCCATTGGCCTTCTTGGCAACAAAGGCACACTGCTGACTCATATCCAGCTTCTCGTCCACTGTCACCCCTAGGTCCTTTTCCGCAGAACTGCTGCCTAGCCATTCGGTCCCTAGTCTGTAGCTGTGCATTGGGTTCTTCCGTCCTAAGTGCAGGACCCTGCACTTATCCTTATTGAACCTCATCAGATTTCTTTTGGCCCAATCCTCCAATTTGTCTAGGTCCTTCTGTATCCTATCCCTCCCCTCCAGCGTATCTACCACTCCTCCCAGTTTAGTATCATCCGCAAATTTGCTGAGAGTGCAATCCACACCATCCTCCAGATCATTTATGAAGATATTGAACAAAACCGGCCCCAGGACCGACCCTTGGGGCACTCCACTTGATACCGGCTGCCAACTAGACATGGAGCCATTGATAACTACCCGTTGAGCCCGACAATCTAGCCAGCTTTCTACCCACCTTGTAGTGCATTCATCCAGCCCATACTTCCTTAACTTGCTGACAAGAATACTGTGGGAGACCGTGTCAAAAGCTTTGCTAAAGTCAAGAAACAATACATCCACTGCTTTCCCTTCATCCACAGAACCAGTAATCTCATCATAGAAGGCGATTAGATTAGTTAGGCATGACCTTCCCTTGGTGAATCCATGCTGGCTGTTCCTGATCACTTTCCTCTCATGCAAGTGCTTCAGGATTGATTCTTTGAGGACCTGCTCCATGATTTTTCCAGGGACTGAAGTGAGGCTGACTGGCCTGTAGTTCCCAGGATCCTCCTTCTTCCCTTTTTTAAAGATTGGCACTACATTAGCCTTTTTCCAGTCATCCGGGACTTCCCCGGTTCGCCACGAGTTTTCAAAGATAATGGCCAATGGCTCTGCAATCACAGCCGCCAGTTCCTTCAGCACTCTCGGATGCAACTCGTCCGGCCCCATGGACTTGTGCACGTCCAGCTTTTCTAAATAGTCCCTAACCACCTCTATCTCCACAGAGGGCTGTCCATCTCTTCCCCATTTTGTGATGCCCAGCGTAGCAGTCTGGGAGCTAACCTTGTTAGTGAAAACAGAGGCAAAAAAAGCATTGAGTACATTAGCTTTTTCCACATCCTCTGTCACTAGTTTGCCTCCCTCATTCAGTAAGGGGCCCACACATTCCTTGGCTTTCTTCTTGTTGCCAACATACCTGAAGAAACCCTTCTTGTTACTCTTGACATCTCTGGCTAGCTGCAGCTCCAGGTGCGATTTGGCCCTCCTGATAACATTCCTACATGCCCGAGCAATATTTTTATACTCTTCCCTGGTCATATGTCCAACCTTCCACTTCTTGTAAGCTTCTTTTTTATGTTTAAGATCCGCTAAGATTTCACCATTAAGCCAAGCTGGTCGCCTGCCATATTTACTATTCTTTCGACTCATCGGGATGGTTTGTCCCTGTAACCTCAACAGGGATTCCTTGAAATACAGCCAGCTCTCCTGGACTCCTTTCCCCTTCAAGTTAGTCCCCCAGGGGATCCTGGCCATCTGTTCCCTGAGGGAGTCAAAGTCTGCTTTCCTGAAGTCCAGGGTCCGTATCGTGCTGCTTACCTTTCTTCCCTGTGTCAGGATCCTGAACTCAACCAACATGCCCACTAGAAAGCAGACTTAAACCCCAACTCATTTCACGGCACTGAACAGCCATCAGGTGGTAAGAGCTTTCCATCACTACTAAACTGGGTTGGATTTGAAATCAGACTTGAAGGTGAAGCTTCTGTATCTCATGACCAATCTCCTGAGCCAACGAGTCAGCAACACTCACTCTCAATTGTTTCCCTCAAGCTGTGAAGCCCACTGGTTGCACAGGACTCTCAAGCAGAGCCCATCCACCCCATCCCAAGGATTTGGGAGCCTAACAGTTGAATACAGTAGAGTCCAAAGGTAGAAGAAAACACTCTGCCCAAGAAGTTTTCATTCACCGTGCTTCAATCCACACACCTACAAGACCTGAGTTTCAAAGAGCTCTCCAGTCAGAAAAGGGGGAAGGATTCCTTCTTAGCAGGTCCACCTGCTTGTGGAGATGTACAGGCCCTGTGGTACCATGAGGAATTGCCATTGTGCTTTGACTTATGGCTGAGTGAAGCTAGCACAGAGCTGCAACGAGGCACAGGGAGGCAGTGAGCTGGTGTGGAGGAGACTGGTTTCAAGGCCCACACTATAGACCTGTTATGGTCCTGTTTCCCTTTTGCCTGTTGTTCTGGACTCCGTGAGGTGAGTGACTTTGTAGTTTTTTGTACACACTTGTGGCTTTTATTTTGGTTGGATTTGGGGTGTCTTGTGACAAAGAAATCTGCAATGTGGGGTTTTGGAACGAGGACTATGGAAGGAGTTATAATTAATTTTATTTCCAGTTCTTTTTCAGACTGATCTTTAGGGAGCAAATCCCACTCCTAACAGTTTAGTTCAGGGCAGCATTCAGAATGACAGTGTTTGCCTCCTTCACTCTTTCCTTCGGGCGCTCCATAGCAACTAGCCACATACACTTACAGCAGCCAGCAAACATAACTTCCCACTTTCTCCTTAAAACTCACCTTTCCCTAGAGTCCCTCATAAATTCATCCATATAACCCTAGTGTAAGTAAAACACCAGATCTCTGGATCTACACACAATACGGGAGCCCTCATAGCCCCGTCGCCTTATTACGTATTGCTTCACCACAAACACCCATCTGGCTTTGTCAGATTCAGTTGACACATTTCATAGGGGCTTGATTTCCAGAAAGCGTGGCGCACTTGTCCTCTGACGACCAGTGAAGGCATCTTAAATTGTGAACCCAACATTACCAGACACTGTTGAGAATCTTGGCCTGTGTCTTTACTTGCTCTGAGGCTGATCCAAAGCCTCTTGAAGGTAACAGAACAACGCCCCTCAACTCCAAGTGCAGCACCTTGTCCATCTATGCTGCTATATGTTAAATTTTAAATGATAACATTACTACCAAGAGAGGTTTCAGTAACCTAGAGACCTGTAGCCTATTCCCTAAGCCATCCAGCATCTCTCGCAATACAGATTAAAAGGACATGCTGTGTGGAGGCTGCAGACAAGCCCTAACAAGAGAATAATTCTGTACATGGAAATTCAGAAGTTTTTAGACTAAATTAACTTTAGAGTCAACATTAACTTTAAAACATCTGATGAGTTAGGAAACAGCTGTCACTTGTCATGTTGTTCTACAGTCAGAGGGAGACAGGAGCATTGTCATATATTTGGGTAGAATGAGTCAGTAACAGGGCTGCAGAAGTCACAGGACTCTTACGTATCAGACCCACATTAACAGGAACATAGGGGGAAGTCCAAGTGCAGGGGAATAGCAGAATGTTCTCCCTGGATTCCAGATCTGTAACTCCCCTAAACCTGCTGCAGATTGCACCCAAGGCTGGACTTTGTGGGTTGCACCCCCTTTAGTGCTGCCCCCCACTTCCAGATAATGTTTTTAATGAAGGGGACTAGAGCCACTTGGCATTGAAGGACCAATACTTCAAGCCACAACTCCAAGCCAAGTTAGTTTCTAGTCTGCATCTTCTGTCACCACTGAGCTTGACATGAGGCAACTTGGCAGGCGGACGGATTCCGGCGACGTTGCAAATGCGAACAGCCAGGGTTAAGCTTCTCAGCGTGAGGCTGCCCCAGTGGAACATCTGGGCACAAATCAAGTACTGCCACTGGCACCAGCCGTTACACAATTTGCACGTGCAAACAGCTGTTTGTACGCAGCGGGCGTCTGCAGGGATAATGGACACAGGCCTACTGTTGTGGCTCATGCATGGCAAGCAGATTTGAAAGTTTGGCCCTTACCAGTTTTCTTCTAAGGATCTTAATTCACAGAACAGCTGTCTGGACGATCCTGGGCTTTGGGAAAGGCCTTTCCCAGCACCAGAGAAAACACTTTCCTACCTACTATTTTTGGCAGATTGCAGGCAGTGCAGAAGCTACACACCCACTTTCCCCAGAGACCAGCACATTCATCCTGGCCTGACGCCCCCAATAGCTGAGCCTCCCTCACACGATACAGCACAAGCTTTAGAGACTGAGTGGGGAAAGTCAGCCACCGGTGACATTGCTTTTTTCCATGGAACAATTGGACTGTTACTGCAAGGTACTCAGCACTCAGACTAATCACTGCTCTCTGACAAGAGGCACCTGAGAACCGGAGATAGTCAGTGAGCAACTGACATTTTCCTAAGCCTTTGAAGTGACTCCTCTCTAGGAAGACATAGTGGGGGCTGGCTCATGTGGGGGCCACCTGAGCAGACTGGATTCTCACCAGCAGTCTTGGCTATGCACAGCCCCCTTCCCTTCCCCTGGGACGATGGAAGGGGACTCAGGTCACTAGTTACACAAGTGCCTCCGGGATGCTGAAGGCTTGTGGCTGTGACAGCATCACCATCCTTTTGAGGTTTCTAAGTCTTGCTGAGCAATAACAGTGGGGACTCTGTCCTAGAGCACCAGGGACTAACCCAAAGCGTGGGGTTAGTATGGAGGCCAATCTCCAGCTGGTATGTCCAAAAGCAACTAACTAGGTAAATCCCCAAATAAGATTCCTGTGAATTCCTAGGACTGGGTCATTGTTAAACATGAGATTCTGGATTTACATGACAATCCCTCCACACTGATAAGCCCATGCCCAGCTGACAAAGATTGGGGCCTTGAAAATAGGTGCATTAAACAGAACTATTACATTATGATTGGTGTGGAGAAAGTAAATAAGGAAGTGTTATTTACTTCTTCTCATAACATAAGAACTAGGGGTCACCCAATGAAATTAATAGGCAGCCGGTTTAAAACAAACAAAAGGAAGTATTTCTTCACACAACGCACAGACAACCTGTGGAACTCTGCCAGAGGATGTTGTGAAGGCCAAGACTGTAATAGGGTTCAAATAAGAGCTAGATAAGTTCATGGAGGTTTGGTCCATCAATGGCTATTAGCCAGGATGGGCAGGGATGCAAAACCATGCTCTGAAGTGTCCCTAGCCTCTGTTTGACAAAAGCTGGGAGCAGACAACAGGGGATGGATCACTTGATGATTACCTGTTCTGTTCATTCCTTTGGAAACACCAGGCTTTGGCCACTGTAAGAAGACAGGATCCTCAACTAGATGGACCATTGATCTGACCCAATATGGCCATTCTTATGTGACTCCGCAAGGAAACCTTGAGCCCAGCCCCCTGGCCAAATGTATCCCAAAGGGTCCTAAAATGTAGATTAGGACAAAGATAGTCTATAGCAGCTTTTGCTGCTGGTGACCTGAAGCAACAGGGAACTTTTATTCAAGGGGGAGAGAGAAATGCCAATACTACTACTTGCCATGTTAGTCTCGCCACGCTGGTTCCCGGACATAAGGGACACGGTGAGTGAGGCAATACCTTTATTGAACCAGGTTTCAGAGTAACAGCCGTGTAGTCTGTATTCGCAAAAAGAACAGGAGGACTTGTGGCACCTTAGAGACTCACCAATTTATTTGAGCATAAGCTTTCGTGAGCTACAGCTCACTTCATCAGATGCATACTGTGGAAACTGCAGAAGACATTATATACACAGAGACCATGAAACAATACCTCCTCCCACCCCACTCTCCTGCTGACAAAAAAACTTGAAGTGGGAGGAGGTATTGTTTCATGGTCTCTGTGTATATAATGTCTTCTGCAGTTTCCACAGTATGCATCCAATGAAGTGAGCTGTAGCTCACGAAAGCTTACGCTCAAATAAATTGATTAATCTGTAAGGTGCCACAAGTACTCCTTTTCTTTTTATTGAACCAACTTCTGTTGGTGATGGAGACAAGCTTTCGAGCTCTATGGAGCTGAAAGAGGTTCTGTGAAACTCAAAAGCCTGTTCTGGTTACCAACAGAAGTTGGTCCAATAAAAGATTAACAAATATTACAGCATATGCATTCATGTTGGATAAAATGTGCGTTTCCATGCGAACTGCTACAGCTCGAGACCTCAGAAGTTGCCAGTATGGACCGTAGCGATGCAGAGAGCGGACGGACATCCTTCTTTAACACCTCCAGTTTATTACTTTTTTCTTCTTTCCTGCTCCAACTATGGCCCCAAATGCCAATATGAAATAGTGACTAGACCAGTCCCTGCAGGAATTTGTCAGGGAATTTCTCTGCAATCAGATCCCTTTTCTGGGTTTTCTTCCACATGGCAAGATGGGTTACTGGTGTGAACCATATTGAGTGGTCATCTGAGGTACCCAGTGTGTATTTCAGTTCTGACCCACTTGAGTTCACACTTTTCTCTGAGATAGATGGCTGAAGGGAAAAGGCTTTTTCAAATATTTAGAGACGTGGCCCCCACTGGTGGTATTAGGAGTGGAGCATCTAATCCCCCTGCAGCAAAAATTAAACTACATTCCTACGAGTCCATTTGCAAATTAAGAAACAGGAAGCATCGAATTGTTAAACACAGCTTCACTTAGGATGGAAACTATTAAACTGCTCTTTTCTCTTTAACACTGTTTCTAGATCCATTTTTGTTCTAGACTTAGTAAAAAAACAAAGTGTTACATGTAATCATTACATCCCAGTTCAGAATTTGCTTCAACAATTGAGAGTTTCCCCATAAAATTAGCTTAGACTCAGAAATGCGCCTGTAGGTGACTTACCAAAAACTCGTTTCCAAACTCCTCTCTGTTAAGTTTCCTGCTTTGGGCCCTGTCCAGGTTTTGCAGCAGAATCTCTCTTTGGTCCATGTTGTGTGACAGGGAGAGACTGGTCCGGCGAAGCAGAGGATGGACATGTCAAGTGCATATCATAACGGAAAGCACCAGCATGGAGAGCGCCTGCTGAAGGCTGTGGTTTACTGACTTCATTGCAAGTCTTAAAGGAAATTAGTGCGTAACAGCCCGTGTGGTCAAAAACAAAAAAACAAGATTCTTAACTCAGGGCCCTAGTGCCTCCTTTTCAGAGTGTGAACTACTGCGCTCATTTCTTTATGGAAAGAGGAAGCTGGGTGGTCTCACTAAGCTTACCTATGCAGTTTTCTTCAACATCAGACTTCATCATATCTGTCTCTGAAGTCAGCTCCACTCTAAGATCAAAGAGCCATATAACGCAGATAGAAAAAAGGGGAATTGCATTGGCTGTGCAAACCAGGGCAGTATTGGCCACATTCACCAGCATTATCTGTAGTTCTCAGTCTCACCGGAAATGTCCCTATGCTGATAAACAGCCATCTAAGAGAAAGACTTGACAGCTCTCTCTCCAGCAGTGCAGGTTCTTAAACACATTAGTCACACCTTAGGTCCAGACTCCTCCAGCAAATCCTGAAATGCTCAGAGGTCACTGCATTTTCAAATGGCCTGGGATGAACTCTGGAAAGCCACATCAGGATCAAGGATTTACATTAGAATGTAGAAGTTACACAGCTATCCAAAGGGGCCACTCACTATGAGACTGTGCAGGTCCTGGACCGTAGGCTGTTTGACTGACAGTCCTCAGAGCTTCCATCCCAGAAAATGGATCTTTAGTCCACCATTCCATTAGGGATAGTCTGGCCGCAAATAGAAGCCTAACATCTCTCCTTCTGTATTTGTAGCAAACTACTTATAGTTGGAAAGCCAGTAACTCCCGTTCCTCTTTGTGGTAGGAAGATGCTGCCCCCAGCTGTTTGTTGGCTGGGACGTGTAAATTCTGGGCCCAGTAAATGCTGTGTCGCACAGTATAGGGAAGTAATGGATCGCCTCCTTACATGAGACATGTACATTTGGACATAATACCAGAGAAGATACTGTAGGAACAACCCTGCATTGGCCTTTGGGGATGGATTGGATGTGACGTAACAAGGCTAACAGAGGTTTAACTGCCCAAATTCTGTGAACTGGTGATACTGTTCCAGAAGGGGTCATCTAATTTTCTGGAGTTAGGATTTCTCAAAACCACAATCAGAAAGCATGACTTACTGGTAACAGTCTCTTGTAAGTGGGCGGCAGCAAGAACAGTGAACTCACAAAGAGTTGCATTTAGGAGCTGGACATTTCCTGTACAGACTAATTTGCAGCTGGTCTCAACTCAAGATGAGAACCTGCTTTGTACTTTGGGTTTATGTACAGGTAAGAAAAATATTTCAACATAGCTAATTTCTAAAATGTGTTTTGAGAACCATGGCTCACAGGTGTGTGTATATGTTTATTTCAGTTTTGAACCATCACACATCTCATACAAACACCTGAGCAGACTCAAGACTTTTCTGCTCTGGGTTGTTTTGCACTGAGGTGGCTTCATTGGTGCAAACACATGCCACACCAGTGCAAAAAAGAGACCGTTTCAAATTGGGGTAAATTTCCCTGGTGCCAATCACTTTTTACATGAGTGCAGGTAAATGGCTTGAAATGGGCATATCCATTCATTTCTTGCTTTATAGGTTTGTAGTATGATGTGAAATTTCACATAGGTTAAGTTTTAGGCCCTTTGAATTTTCTCTGTAGTTCATGTTTGGTTTCTTTTCATATATTTTAATAGCATGTTTCTTAAATTTGTCTATGACAGTCTCATTTTTGTCAATGTGCATTTTAATAGCATTGTGAATCTACACAAACCTTGGCAGAAAGGTGAATCTTGAATAGTACATGCGGGTAGTTTTATTCAAAGAAATGATTAGGGTTAGGAGTAATTCCTTTCCTTGATTATATACAGCACTTAAAAATTGTATGTAGATTAGCATATAAAACTCTCCCACTGAGGTACTTGCAGAGCCCCGTATGTGAAACTATGGATTTATTCCTGAGACGAGTGGAGGGCAGTGTGTGGTGATTATGAGAGCTATTACCTGGTGAGATGGATTTGAAAGGGGAACCTCCCCAGATAGCTGATAGATAACATGTTGTGCTTTGTTGCAGATCCTCAACAAAGCAACTGCTACTTTAAGGACAGAATCTTCATGAATGTTCCTAGATGGCTGAAATGTACACATTTTAACTGTTAGCTCTGAGAGTGTGCTGACCTGTTCTCTAGCCATGCCCCTTGCTCTTCTCCCCGCCAATGGCTCCCCAAAACATCTGATGAAAAAATTTGATGAGAAACATCAGAGCCCCTCGGTCAACATTTACCAAATTTCAGCAGTAAGAAGAAATTCACAAAGTTGACAGTTTTTGTGCCATCTGGGTACTTTCATGAAGAGCCTGCTGTTTGTGAAATAAACCACAGCCATGGAGGAGACACTTCTATATCTAGGAGTACCCGGGAATTTATACATAAACAGTACATTGTGGATCGTGTAAAGCAGCTGCACACACACAACCTCAAAAGCCAGAAAGTGATAGTCATTTAATGGTCCATACCTTCTCCTACCCTCTGACTGCCAGCACACCCACCATACATCATAGACAACAATAACTCTTCCCTGACCTGCCAACATCCCCTGACTCAACCATGAACAAGTGTGTTTCCCCAGGCAGATAGTATGGGTGGGAGGATCTGTTCTGTTTGCAGTGATGAGAAATTGTTGCAGGGGATGCCAGCATGGTTGGCAGTGTTAAGGCCCCAGTGTGTTGTGGTACATGCTGTTTGTGTTAGAGCTGATGTACACATCTCTGGCCAGAGTAGCAAAGAGTATGTAATGTTACCTGACAGCTTTTAATTTCTTTGTTTTTGAGGTGGGTGTGTTGTTAGGTATGTTACATGTGCAGCTACCTTAACTGATACACAAGATAGTGTGCTTTATGTATGATCTTCCATATTGTCATATCCAGGCTGAGCACTTGCAGCTTCAATAGAAGTCAAGGGAACTGTGGATACTTAATAACTTTGAAAAAAAGGGACACCGAATTTAAAACATAGAAAAAACATTTTTCAGAGCTGTAAAATACACAGAACCTAAAAGCGTAGTCTAGATTGCACAGACCTCTCTGCAGAAATGGGTCTTTGCATGGTCCAGACTAAGAATTCACTATCTGACACTTACAGACTCTGTGGAAAAAGTAAAATAAGGAAGTGTTATTTACTCCTCATAACACAAGAACTAGGGGGTCACCAAATGAAATTAATAGGCAGCAGGTTTAAAATAAACAAAAGGAAGTATTTCTTCACACAAAGCACAGTCAACCTGTGGAACTCGTTGCCAGAGGATGTTGTGAAGGCCAAGGCTATAACAGGGTTCAAAAAAGAGCTAGGTAAGTTCATGGAGGATAGGTCCATCAATGGCTATTAGCCAGGATGGGCAGGGATGGCATCCTTATCCTCCGTTTGCCAGAAGCTGGGAATGGGTGACAGGGGATGGGTCACTTGAGGATTACCTGTTCTGTTCGTTCCCTCTGGGGGAACCTGGCATTGGCCACTGTTGGAAAACAGAATACTGGGCTAGATGGACCTTTGGTCTGACCCAGTACGGCTGTTCTTAAGTTCTTATGACTTAAACACAGCAAAGACAAACAGTAACCCTGTCTACTGCACCAGCTGGTAGAAGATGATTCAGGAACGTATTGGTGTGGAATACAAAGGCCATATACAGATATAATGACTGCAGTGGAACTCAGTGTAACTGAAGGTAGTGATTCTTTAAACATTGTAATGTCTCATGAGATTCATTAGTTTTATAACTTGACTGAAAAAAAAATGGGATACCTGTAGTGATTTAGTTACTTGTATTTGATGTCAAATGGGAATGAACAATACTGCAGTTGCAAAACCAGAAAAGGGAAAGTAGTAATGAAAGCACAGCCAGAATGACACCAAAACAAGAACAGAGCTGCTCTGGGTGGCTCACGAAAGCTCATGCTCAAATAAATTGGTTAGTCTCTAAGGTGCCACAAGTACTCCTTTTCTTTCAGTAGCAAGAGGTATTCTGCAGTTATACAGAAACACTGTTTGTATTCCAGTGCTATCTAGGATATCCAACGGAGATCAGAGCCCCCTTGTGCTATGCACTGTACAAATACACAGGAAGAGACAATCCCTGCCCTGAAGAATTTACAATCTAAATAGACAATACAGAGTGAAAGGGGGTACTGTTATCCCGCCCCCTTTTACAGTTAGAAAACCAAAACACAGACAGAGCACAGGCTTGTCTACATAGTGCGACAATGTGCACTAGAGAGGTGTGAATTGTAATGCTCCTTATTTTGCATTCACACAGTACTAGTACTACATGAATACACACTAGAGAACTTTTAGTGTGCGCCAGCAGGGTCTACTTGTGCCAGTTAGTGCTCTTTAGAATTCAAACCCCTGTAGTGTGCTTTGCCATACCGTATAGACAAGACCTACCTGACTTGCCCCAGGTCCCATGGACTCTAGGGTGGAGCCAGGAACTAAACCCAGATGTCCTGAGTTCCAGTCCAGGGCCTTAACCACTAGGCTAACCAACCTCTTTTCTTAAGTGATGAGAGGAAGAGCTGAAGTTTAAAAATACATGGTATCCCCTTCAATCACAGAATTCCTGATGTAGTAGCAGCTTCACCTTATCCTAACAGATGATTCCTGATCCAGAAGGCCTGAAGAGGAGCTGTGTGTGACTGGAAAGCTTGTCTCTCACCAGCAGAAGTTGGTCCAATAAAAGATATTACCTCACCCACCTTGTCTTGCTTATCCTCATTTTATTCAGTTTTAGATAAATACGTATGCCAAAGCTGGCACACATTTGTCCAGAGATTCATCTCAGTCTGGTGTTGTGACGAAAGCATATGGAGGCTTTTGTACTGTGAACTCACTGATCAAGGATCAATAGTACGTAAATGCCTCTGCCTTTCCCACTCTTTCTAAACTCAGCAGTGAAGCCATGCAGCCTCTTGAGACTAATCCTTGGAAAGAGCCTAGAACTAGACAGAGATATCTACAGCAAAGTCTGATTGGGTAATCCAAACAGTGCTTCACACCCTTCTGTGTATTGCATCTCACCAGAACAACTACGTGGTTCCATTTCAGAGCCTCTCTCCACACCCCTTATTACTCTCACCAGCCATCCCGGTGAATCCTGCCTAGGGAGATCAGTGACTGTCAGATGTCACTCAGCCACAGGCTCTAATGTCTACTACACATGGTACAGAAAGAGCTTTCCGACCAATATCATCACAGCAGCAACCTGGTGCTTCACTGTGGAGACCTCCTGGAGAATTAGAGCTATTATTGCCAAGCTTCAACTCGCAGAACGAACAAATCCACCCAGGTGTTGAGAGCAGAGGTGCTGACCCCAGCAAAAGAGAACTGCATGTACCAGTTACAATTAACAGGTAGTGTTTTTATTTCAGTGTTAGCTTCATGGACTGATTAATAAATAATAGGCAAAAAAAATCTGTAAAATACATGTTAAACTCCTCTCACACTAAGTTATACCTACTAAATATGGACTCCCCCAAAAGCAGAAAGGAATCAAGCTACAAATACAGCAGTATCGTCTCCCCATTCTTATATTGCCTATTGTACTCATCCTTAGACACCTAGTACATGTGCAAACAATACCGGCACATCTGCAGCATGGGGAACAGAATGTCAGACATTTTGCTCCCACAAATACCAGATCTTTACCCCTTGAGTTAAAGGAGAATGCTCCTTAGCTGTAACAGACAGGAAGGTTTAATTTTCTTAAGTAACTAGAGAACTGTTCAATGTAATGTACATTATTTTCTTTGCCCTTCTTGTAGTTTAAGGGGAGAATATGAAATGTCAAATGCCAAGTGGATATGCATTGGATTCTATACAAGCAATTGTATGTTTTTATTACAGATGGTGAATCATACAACTGTATAAGAACAACCCCAGTGTTCACAGTTGAGATGCCTTCAACACCCTTCACAGGCTATTCAGCACCTTGCTCCAACTCCTCTAGTCATCCTGGCACAGAAGAGTAGGTACCAGCCATCACAACTGTGGGTTCCTACTGATTAGATAGGGTTTCTCTCAGAAATCCTAAGTGGAAATTTCTGTCTAAAGACATTTCAAACTGTAGCTAACATGGTGAGAATATTTGTGCCTAGGTACCACGGCGACTGACACACTGGGAATATTAGAAAGAAAATCAGTACAGAAGAGATTTAATAGGGAATGAAATTGCCAACTTGATCCAAATGTCAGAGCACTGCATCAAAGTGTCAGAGAGGACAAGAGCTTGACAAGACTTAAAAAAGGATCAAGCACGTATATGGACATTGAGAACTTTCAGTTACAGAAGGAAGGACTGTAATAAATTATAAAGAGGATCATATTCTTCAGGGCATCATAACCTTCAGGGTTAAGGAAAGATTACCAGGTGGGCAGGATATTCCATAATTGTCTCACTGGGTTTTCTGAACTTTCCTGTAAGACATCTGTTACTTGCCTCGGCTGGTGCCAGGATACCTGACTAGATGGACCATTGTTCTGATCCACTATGGAGATCCCCATGTTTCTATTTAGAAATAAGGGCAACAAATGAGACAACAGAAGTCAGCACCACTGTTTGAAAAACAAATGGTAACAATGTGACTTGTGCTCCTAAATTCTGTGGGCATTTTTGAAAAAAATCTCCTCCAGTCGAACTTGTGCTTGTTGTATTAAATGTTTCGTAAAAGCATCTTTTACCTGCAGATCCGGTATTTCCACAGTGGCTACTCAAAATGATTTATTGTCCTCTTTTGCTTTAGTAGTTGGATCCCAGTTCCATGGGCTATTCTGCGCTGGTTGTTCCTGGTTATTCTAGTAGCATCTTTAATTATCATTCAGAGCAACAGGACATAGAAAAGTGGTGAGTTTCTTTTAACTGTAAAGACAATTTTCATTCAGTTCTATAGCACAATTAACAGTGTTACAATTCTCTACCAAACAGTCAAGCAAAGGATGCTTGTGTGTAGAATTCTATATAAAAGCTAGGTATTAAAATATTATTAATGTGCATTTTACAAATATATGCTCAAATGTGACTTGAGAGACTAGGCAGGTTTTTATTTTTTTATTTGCTGTAAATATTTTATAATATTTATAAAGACAATTTCCATTTCTACTGAAGCTTTTTAAACCTATCATCAAGAAAAAAAAAAGCTTATTTACTAAACAGAAGCAGTTTCCTGCTTCTGCACTGCTGGAAGCTAGCAGCTCTCTCGAGAACACTGCTTCTGTGTACTGCCAGTAGTGTGCGCTCTGATATACTTACTCCCAAGCAGTAAATCTTTGATCCCCAGCTCTTAACATATGGTATACTAATTTTCTGAAGTTTTTTAAGTGTAAAATTGTAATTGCTTTACATTTCTGTTCATATCAATGGAACTGTTTTCTCATGTGGTTTTGGCATGAGGTTTAAAAACCAAATACCAAAACTTACCAACAGAAGTTGAGTCCTAAGACTAATACTGTAGTGAGTTGCAGCTCTTTGCTACAAAAACCTGATACTTTGCTCTTGTGATACATTATAGTCATGACACCGTACCAATTGTTTCCTCTTCCTTTATATACCATAAGCCTGGAGATAATTTGATTAAAATATGGATACTTTGAATTATAAAAAAAACTACCAGTAAAATTGTATTAACAAAATCAAAGGTACCCACGGATTATAAATTTGTCCCAAATCCTTGATAAATGAGAATGTCATGCTTCTTTAAGAGTGAGCTGCCTGCTTGTAGCTTGACCCAACCATACCCTTATTCACTAAAAAAGATGCCCATTCAAGAAATATTTAAGAGGCCCAAATTATTCATGGATCATGAGTATAATTCAAATCTGGAACTTGCATGGGAATCTAGGAAAATTATTTTTCCATAGTACAAGATTCAATGCCTAATGTGCCAGGATGATACATCTATAATTATCCTGCTGATCTTCTGTATACAAGGGCAGGTAGCTATGCAGCATCTATCCTACCTGACCACCTGCTGAGTTTCATACAGGGCTGCTCTGAGTGGGTTTGAGTGCAGGGTACAAACACAGTCAGAAAGCACATTACAATAAAAATATCCTTTGGTTTTAGATTAAAACAAACTGAAATATTTTGTTTTTAAGACTTCATTTCCAGAATCTTTGAAGTGCCCCCCTCCATCATCCCACCAAGAGAAGGTCAGAGAGACTCGCATGGTCTTTGGTGAAGTCTAATTTCCAAGCCATCACCAGCAATGCGATATTGCCTTCCCCCGGGGCACAGGAGGGTGCAGTCATCTGGACCTGTTATCAGTAGAACATCTGGACACCTCCAGCACACTGGGTCACCCAAGAGACCACACTTCTCTGTACACCATTCAACATACAGGAAGCAATGTCTTGATAAACTCTGAATACACAAACTGTTCTAGCAACAAAGACATATGCAAAATCCACAGTTTCCAGTCACATTTATAACTCTCTCTTTTGCATGTAAGCTGCACTCTATGTTCCAAAAATGCTTCTGACAGATGCTGTGCACACAGAACAGGTTCAGTTAGCTTGTGCGCTCATCACATTAATCTGAAACCTACATAAGGTTCCTAGACAAAGAATGCCTGTGTGTATATTTAGGATCAACCCTTCCCAGCCAGGCTTCCCCAGATCCAGGCCAGAGTACCTAGTCCTGCCCCACCAGGAATCACTGCTAGGAGACAGGGTCAAGGGGCTCCAACTCCATTAGCCTTTAAAAAAAATCCACTATGCCAAACTGCTCCACCTTATGCAACTTCCTAGTGAAACTTCTCCAGCTGACAAGACCCAAACACCCAGAGTGAGTCAGCAGTGGCAGAAAGGAGAAGACTTCATACTGGGAACCAGATATGAGAGGAGCAAAACCCCCTAAACTTCCTAGACACGCAAAAGATTCTGTACCAATAGTGAAAATCTCAGATTGAGTGTCCCTGGATAGACAGACAGACAGCAAAGCAAAGCCTTTGGGGGATTTCAGGGTTAGTTACAGATTAGCAAAAAACAAGCAAAATGGCAGAGTTATTGGATTTTTGTCACAAATCCAGTTCGGAGTACTTCTGCAGAACTCTTGCCTGGTTTTCTGAGTGGCAACAGATCTCTCTATCCCCCAAAGAGACATTTCTGTCAATTTAAATTTTGTAAAAGCAATCCTTCTTGTAACTGTAGAGCAACAGAAATGTGTGAAAATTCTAAGGGAAAACCACCATTTTAAAACAATCATTGACCTGCAGAGTTTGAAACCCAAACATGGTCACACTAAGCCCCCTGACCTGGAAACTAACTCTACGCCAGTGAAACTGATGCCATTGTCTAAGTAGAGAGAAATGCAGATAGCAAATAAAATGCTTAAAAATGACAAACTGGATATTGATATTCTTTCCCTTCCAGTGATCTAGGGTGTGTTAGTAACAGAGAGAGACACTTGTTTGCAACCTGATTTTTAAATTACATCTTCCCTTTGAGAGGCTGTAAGGGCAACTGCCCTATTAAATCAACTAGCAGCACAGCTACTTTCCCTCAAGCCAGTTCACACCCTGCCCATCCATGTTTCCCAGCATTATACTAGGCAGCCATCTCTGGCTCCCTCTCCCTTCGGGGTTGCAGGGTAGGAGTTCAGCACCAAAGCTGGCAGAACAAACAAGTGTCATTGTGAGTCCTCACACTTAAAAGTTGCATTTACAGCCTATGTTAGAGGGAAACAAAATCAATCCTACAAATTATTTGTAAATAAATGAATAAGTGCAAGAACAAGAGAGCCACATCTGGTGTGGAAGAATAGCTACGTGTTGAGATGTCCCAATTACTGACTGTATCAATCTTCAGGGCAGAGGGAAGTAGAAAGGCTGATGGCTGGGAAAACGGTTTTCAGAAAACAGTTTAATAGTTTTAAGTCAAGTCACTGAAAGCTGCCATTTCATTCCCTTGGAGGCAGTGTAGCCTTTTCCATCAGTTTCCAAAGTTCTCCTAAAAAAATTGAAAGAAAGAATTAAAAACAATGGTTAAAGGAACTAGCAGTAAGAGAGGTGGCCCAAGTGCAGGATGGGGAAACCAATTCTACTCCCAGCTTGCATGACAACCTTCCCTCTGGCCTGGGCCAAGTCACTTCATCTTTCCAGGCCTCAGTTTCTTCAGCTGTAAAATGGGGAACCCTACCCCCACAAGGGGGTGAGAGAAAGTGTCTGTAAAGCCCATAGGAGCTAGAAAGTGCTAAATATGATTAACTTTTATTCCTTATGAACTTATCTAGGGCAGAAATGTTAAGATTCGCAGGGTGCTAAGACAGCGGTGAAATCCTGTTGAAGTCAATAGGAAGCATACCATTGACTTCAGTGAAGGCAGGATTTCACCAAGATGTTTAACACAGCAGTGCTTCAGATACAGAGACAACACCTGAAACATAGGACTACAAGGTGGAACAGTCTGGTGTTTTTGGGGTCAGTGGCCAGCAATGCCAGGGCATGCCCCAGGATGGCATGTTGCAGGGCTGAGTAGGCAGGCTGACAGAGTTAGGACACCTCCTTGGAAGTGCAATGAATGGTGCCCTCAGAACACTGGGTCACACTGTAGCCAGTGCAGACTGGCAAAGGAACAGAGCCACAAGTGTCAACAGAAGAACTTCAGTGATCCTTGAGCACTCACCCAGCCACCACGGGTCTCGATGTATCCTCTCACTTCACGGTTCCCATTAATCAGTTCCACAAGCTGGATTTGACGAGCCACAGCTGGAACTTTCCGGGAAAGGTACACTAACAATTTCACAGACACTGCCAGAAAAGCTCTCTCATAGCCCAGCTCAGGATTCAGGCTGCTCCAACTCTTGCTGAGAGAATCCACCATGACTCCAAATTCCTCTACCTGGGAACACCAAGAGGAGGCTTTATAAAATACCACTGTTAAAATAAGTCTTGGTTCAAACCCCACAGGGTTACCCAGGCCTGGCTTGCTTTGCTCTATGATTGAGGCAGGTGACCCCCCTTGGGCAGTGCATTGCTTGGTACATCTAAGTCAGACTAAGATCTTCAGGGCAGAGACTATATGTACTATGTGTTCGTACAGTGCTACTGTAGTTCACACAATAGTGCTGGGGGAGAAGGAGGGACAGTTTCCAATTTAACTAGGACTGCAAAAAGTTTGGAGCTAGAAGTGCATGAGCATTCGTATTGAAACTGGGCCAGGATGAGTTCCAGCCTCAGACCAGGCTCATGTCAGGTCAGCTAACACAGGCTGGGGCTGTTCAGACAGCTCCCCTGCTTCATTCCCCTTCCCTGTCCATTGTCCAAGAGCAGCCCCTCCCATTTCAAGACAAAGCATCCTCTCACATAACAGCACTTCAGTTAAGAAAGGAGGTGCTGGGGCTCTACAGCATATTGCAGAAGATGGGTAGACCCTGGCATAAAGAGAGTGCTTGTGCATTACCTTTCCCTTAGCCACCTCGGCAATGATGCGCTGGGCAGGCCGCTCCAGGTCCTCGTTATATTCATCTCCCAGTCTACGCAGATGACTGGCAATAATAACCGAATCAAAGGTACTTGAAGCTTCTGCTCCCGCAGAGAGCTGAAGTTCTAAGACGGCAGAGAGAGAGCAGGGAAAGGGGGTACAACCTGCAGGTCAAGTGGTTGAGGTGAAGAATGCCTGTTTCATATCTAAACTCCTTATTTTTTAATTTTATATTACATGAAAAAAATTGGGTTAAGAGAATGTGAAGTCAGGCACACAGAAGTTAGGAAATGCCAGATGAAGATTCCCCATGCAACCTTAATTTGGACCCCTTGTGCATATACATTATGGGACGATTTTAATTATGTTATCACAGAATATTTCCTAATAGTTCCTAATTAAAAAATCCAAAAGACTAAAAACCAGAATTTCTATCATGTAAAATCATACTGACGCCCGATTTGGGTCATCAGTCAGGTTCAGATCTTTAGATCCACAGCACAGACCTGTACCACTTGAGTTAACAGAGTAACTGGTAACAGAACTAGGCTGAGCATGCGGTTCAGGCACTAGGTGAGACACAGTTTGCCAAAGGGGTTAACACAGCTATTTGTTGACAGTAGAGGAACACACACAACTCCTGGGTTCAAATCTAGGTTCTGAAGGGCAGTGTGTCTAATGGTGAGACCCTTCTGCCCTTGCCCCTGGCCTCCCACAAGTCTGACCCTCTCTGCCCCCTTGTCTCTTTGTCCCAATCCCTCTGCCTGACATGGGTTCATGTTCCAGTTCACTACCCTTTCCAGACCCTAGTCTCATCCTCCTACCAACATCCCCAATGCCCAGCTTATTATTTCCTCCTTCTCCAGGCTTCCTGGCAGACAGCAGGGGGAGCAACAAGAACGAGAGATTCTCTGATTTGGTGCCCAGTACCCCAGCAGCCCCAGTCAGCATGGGAGCAGCATTTGCAGAAAAAATCCTGCTTATCCCCAGCCTGGAATATGCTCAGTACAGGCAGAATCTTAAGCAAATTCACCTGTCAAACCATTTAGTTTCTAATAAACGTGCAAACTGCAATTTTTCAAAGGCTTAACAATTTGGCCACTTTGGGCTCTTTTGCCACAGGGACGGTAAAAGGCACAATCCTGACACAAATGTGCCCTCTGCCCAAGTTTCAAGTTCCTGCTCCAATGCAGGATGGCGCTAGAGCTTCTCAGCGGAACGGTTTTAAAAATTTAAGATGGGCAAAACACATTTCCCTAAACACATTCGAAGAAATAGCTATTTTTTCTTGACATTTTCCAAAACAGAGTTCAGCCTGAGGCAATTGCCCAGCACTGAAAATTTCAATCCAAATTGTTACAACTTTGGCAAAGTTGTAAGCCACTGAAAACAGGAAGTGTTGGGCAACTTTATCTAGCGCAGTTGCTAGCTGCTCCTCCCGTGCCTGGGTAAGTCCTAGTTGCCCTTTCTTATTACATTGCTAAGTTGCTTGCTTAATACTCCAGATATTTGGGTATTTTAATGCTTAGCATTCCCCAGCCCCCTTTAGAACTCTGGTTCAAACCCCACACTAGATTCCACAGGTTCAGGAAAACTTAATTTGAGCTGCAGCCATTCACCAGGCTGTATTCACAATACTCCAGTCAGTGGAAATAGACTTGTATGTGACCCATTAGCCCAATGGGAGCTCAGCACAGGGGACAGGCAGATGGGAGACTCTCCCTCTGGGCCGAACTTCCCTTTCCTCCTTCAGCTCCCTCCTCCATGCTTCCATGAAACCTTTGAGAAACAAATGCTGCTTGATGCTTACAGCACCTCCCACTTGCACCAACTCTCAGCCACTCTCTGGGCCCGATTGTCTTTTGGCTGGGTCTGAACTAGGCTGTACACTCCCCGGGACGGAGACCACACCTTTCCTTATTTGTTAAGAACCAAGTACAGTGTTGGTACTCGATACATTAACGATAACTAGTTCTTTGGTTACCAGGACCAGTTACACTTTCCCCATCACTATTAAGACAAGTTATTTTTATGGAGATTTGGCGAGTGAAAAAGTTACTGGCATTTATAACTTGAATCCAAAAATCCCAGGTGCGCTACAGACTATTACAAATATATTTAATCTGCATGCTTGTGATGCAGCCTGGACTTTTCAATGACAAGCAGTCAGGATCTCCATTTTGCATCTCATTGGACAGAGTGTCCTTTCCAATAGCATAGTTCTCCGTAGTCCCACATCAGGGAAATGGTTCAATGTGGACTGAGAGGGAAGGGCAACACCGCTCCTTGCAGTCACCTGGAGACTCTCATGGAAATACTGACCCATCCCAACCCTGCTTTGCTTGAGACCTGCCAGCCCAAACTGCAGCCCTCGTCCCTATCCATTACAGGAACACCCACAACAGGACATTTACCTAGAACCTTCAGCCAAGAAAGCCTCCTGCCTCCCTCCAGAGATTTGGTCCCAGGTGACTTTACCTGTGCATGACTCAGCAGAAGAGTCTGTCTCCAGACTGTGGAAAGCAGTCCCTTCGTCTTCCCCTAAGAGATCAGAGAGAAGTGCCTCCACAATGCACTCGGTTTGCTCCTCAAAAGTCCTAGGGCTCTTCATTTTAATACGTCCCCCCCGGGATTATCTGAAGTTCAAACAGAAGCCAAGCTGTCCCTGCAGCTATTCCTCTTCCGGGTAATGTTTGTGCATAGAACCTTTAGAAGCTTTCTTCCTTTCTGGTCAGCTCAGTATGCGTCACACACTCCAAGGGCAAGTGCCTTAGGGAGACTCCTCCTCCCATGGGCAGTAAAGCGCTGACAGGCTATTTCATCCCTCAGTCTTGCTCCCATGCACTTGAGTGTGGCAACGTTTCACAATAACCATTTACTGTAAAAAACAGCTGTCCAGAATGAAGTTTTTCCAAAGTCCATCATTCACCAAGGGATACCCTACCTAGGACAAGTCTAGGACTCAAAGGTCATGTCTACACAGAGATTGGAACCAGGTTACCTGCAACTGTGTAAACATGAGGAGTTGCTGACAGAGTACAAGGGTGTTTTTGCTGATAATTTCATAATGCAAATATGCTCCCAGCAGCCAGAGGTGTGGCTAAGTGAGCTCAACTCACACAGGAAAGGTCCTGCATGCTGGTGATAAGAGACACCCAACTACAGTCTATGCTTAAACCCAGCTGCAGCTATAGCAGGCAGCCTTATCTGAGGTTTTGCTGGTGTGACCATACCTACTGAATGCTTACTTACTGCAGAGAACAGATCTACAAAGATTGTCAGTGGACTTCACAGCAAATTCTGCGCTGCTGCTCCCAAGGTAGCAAGAGCAGCCACTTCACCAGCACAGGAGGGGTTTTACGGCTATAAGGGAAGAAGCCATTCCCTAAGTGTGGGAGGTCTAACCTGGTGTGGCTCTTAACTCAGAGTCACAGGGTGGACACTGAGGGTACATCTACACTGCACACAAAAACAAAAGACAAAACGCCATGGCAGCAAGTCTCATAACCTAGGTCAGCTGATGCTGGCTTGGAGCTAAAAACAGCTAGCTGTGTGGATGTTCCCAGTTGCACTGATGCCCGAGCTCTGTAACCCAAAAGTGGGGGCTCCAGCCTGAGTGGGCACTTCTACACTGCTCTTTTTAACCGTCACATGAGCTCGCGTCAGTTGCTGGGGGCTCTGAGACTTGCTGCCATGGGTTCGTTCGGTTTTTTGTTTGTTTGTTTTTTTTGGGGGGGGGGGCGGGGCGGGGCGGCGCAATGTAGACATGCCTTAAGAAGGAGTTGGTTCAGCCCACCCGTGTGCCTCATTACCCATCTCACAGTGGCACATGATAGACGACAGCTGGTCTCTGTCAAGAAAGGGGAACAGGAAACTGTGGCATACAGTGTAACAGCAGCAGTGAGCAAGAGGCTCCTGGTGCAGACTACAGGGGAAAAGAAAAGAACTCCAGGAAGGGTTGGGAGTGGCCTACTAAAAGCAGCCAGTTGAGCTGAACTTCACAGACTCTATCTGGAGACTCTGAAGTTAATAAACCCAGCCCCTAAGGAGCGGAGGTTGAACAGAGAGAAGCCTGTGTGTAGTTTACTGCGGGCCCTGAAGAGGAACACTAAGGGTATGTCTACACTGCATACTACATACGGGAGCACATCGAGTATATACACTGCATGCCCCTCTAGCACAGGTATAAATAGCAGTGTCCAAACACTGCGGTATGTACCCTACCCAGCTCTCTGCATACCCAAGCAGTGCTTCCCCCAGCTACACTGCTATTTTTAGTAGTGCATCGTCCTGCTGCTGAAGCCTTTCCATGCCACCATGAAAGGCTCTGGAAGCAGGGAAAGGCTAGCTGCCAAAGCCATTAACTGACATGCACAGATACACACTGCTGCATGGACACAGCCTGGTTTTCACTCTGGCACATAGCTATGTGTACAGTACTTGCTGCTGCCAGCAGGGTGCAGTGTAGACACAGCTAAGACAGGGAACTGAAGAACCACTCAAGGCCACAAGGGGTCACTTGGGAGACAGCTGCCTTTACAGGGAGTCCAGGGGCTTGGACCCTTCAACAGTCATGCAAAGGGTCTGGAAACTGTATATTTTTATTCTCCTTCTTTGAGAGTCTCTCAGACATCAGCTGGGGAATTCATGGGCAAGAACAACCTGAGGAGGAAACTTATTTTCGAGCTTAAAAAATGCATGTTTTCAATAAATTGAACAGGTGAGAATGCTTAATTCAATTCCAATAACAATCACGCTGGGCAGTTAGGACATCATTGTAACTTGGTGCTTTACTCAAATAGATCAGACAAAAAGGAAAAAAAACAAGTGAAGGTTTAAGAGAAAAAGCCTGACCAGGAGTTGGCCAAGGACAACTATAAGAAATCCACGGAGATAAACATCTAAAAAAATGAAGAGTAGACAGAATATACCCTACCTTGGTAGAAACATGAGAATAGTGAACAAGGAAAGCCAGAAAAGGGGAGGGAAAAAGAAAAAACAATACTGAAACACAAGGCTATGCATGGCTGTGAGAAATATCCAGAACTGACAAGCTGCCCCACATGGATCTAGTGGGAAATTAATAACTGACCAAAGCAGAGGAACGTAAAGAATACTGTGAATGAAAGCTGCAGCAATAAAACCAGGAACATGATACACCACACTGGTGGACAGAGCACTTTACATAACCGTCCTAGTTAAAAAAGCAACAAGTTTGGGTAAAACCTGGTTTAAAAAAACAAAACAAAACAAAAATATTCCTCTTGTAAATATATAAGTTAGCTATGTCAACTGCAACGGTGCAAATATTAGTGTGAGCAGTAAACAGTCAGCTAGCCCAGTGACCTAGTCAGGCTGTGCCATATTAATTCATGCCCACTGTGGCCTTAGGAGAACTCACTCACTCTCAGGTGTTCTTATAGTTCCATCACCACAGAACCTAAAAGCTGAGGTGAGACTTCAGAGAGGCAAATTCTTCCTCTGCAATGATGTATTTCAGTTAGAAAATACATTAGGTTTTTTTTAAATAAAAAATCCTGATTTTTAGAAAACAGGTGCTCTCCCCCACGTCAAATCCCTTTAAAGCAGAGCTCCTAACCCTGAAGGGACGCTCCCCACAGAATTGCATCCACTGATGGACAGATTAAATCCCTTGAGAAGAGAACCAAACCAAGCACTGGAAAATTCTCCCCGAAACAGAGCCAAGGAGTTATTCTGCCCTCTCTGCACCTCTTAACACAAGAGAAGCAACTCCAGGGTCAAATTCTCAAAAATGCTTTTCACTGGTTACCCATAATTCTAACTAAACCTGGGGCTGTGCCCACCCTGACTTGTTTGTTTGTTTCTGGTCCTGAGGAAGTACGACTCACGGTCACAATTCCTAGTCAGCTATCAGCTCACTCCATTCCCAAAGCTCTCTAGAGAGATCTGATGCCAATATTTAATCTCTCTCTTACTCATGTAACTAGCACTGGAGTTGCTCCTGCTTCAGTGACCACATCAGAAGCACCATACTGATGATCCATCCCCCAGCCTCCAGAGTTGTGAGATCTTGATGTATTTTGAATCTCTCCCATGCACCTGTTATAATGCAGTATGTGAAGAAACTAGCTACACTCACATCATAAGCTGGGCCACACACTATTCCCACTGGCACTAAAGGCACCTCTAAGGCAGATCAGGAGCTGTTCGAGGCTCTTACAAACAGTTTAGAAGAAGAGCAATTTAACTTCAGTAACACCACTCTGAGCTGTCGAAAAGATCTTCCCTACTCCCCGAGTGAGCCTGCTCTGAGCAGGGCCTAGAGGAATCAGGATTTCAGCCCGAGGACTGTCCCCATTACAGTCCTTAACGCTGAGATAAAGTGTTGCAGCGCCTCAGTCCTCTCCTCACTCTGCTTCACTGAAACCTGCATCTCCGAGTTCTCGGTCTCAAGCACCAGCTCTGTTAGGAAGAGACAACCAGACTCATCCTGGGCACTGAGATAGGCCTTCCATGGCTGGGCACCAGCTTTGCTCATAGCAATAGTCTGGATGTGGACAACCTGAAGTGCAGTCTGTATGGTGTCTGGGTGAGCAGCTCCACGCCAGGGCAGAGCCTGCTGGCAGTTCACGTCCAAACTCAGCCAGGTCTTCTCAAACTGCTCCGCAGTCAGGTGTGCCTTAGGGATTAAAGTCAAGCCAGCTGAGTCGGAATGAACCTGGAGAACTTCCTTATTCCCTTCTGAAATCAGTGATTCTGAAATCAAATATGGAACAGGGTGAGAAACGGCACTGGGAATGCTGCCCACAGTATCACCAAGACCTATCAGCAACACAAACCCGGGAAGTGTAATGCCTCCAATATTCCACCAGGGTGAGCACACTGTGGTCAGCCAAGTGTTAAGTGAAAGGCTCAGACCCCATAAGAGCCTTTTGTACTCAAGGCTTCAGTGCTAAAACCTGGGATCCTCCCAGAGGATCAAACATAGGAAGATTTATCAATGGGGGAAGGTATTTTTCTAGCTGAATGTGTGACTACCTGTTCCTGCAGTCATGGGAGCAGCACAGTGAAAGCCTCCACAGCGAGGCTCCATTGCCCAGTTAGCAGTGACAATTGCCCAGCATGCTTTCCCATATACGGGCACCAACGTGTTAAACTCTGAAGCCCATTTGTTCACAGGTCGCTCAGCCTGATCCTCCAGGAGTCCCAGAGAGGGATCAGACTTGGGGCTGCACAGCACCCGCTTCGCTTCTTCCACGCCAGCTTGTAAGAGACGATAGTAGAACAGCCCCCGGTCCCGTACCACCATATCAGTCTCTTCCTCTGGAAAAACGAACACACACACACGTTCACTCGGCATGCTAGAACTCATAGATCAGACGTCAATGGACAACCCTTAGCTGGTACATACCAACAGGCTCACACCTGTATCCTGAGTGCTGTCCATTTCCTCTACCACTTTGCAGAGCTAGGGGCCAAACAGCAGCAGGAGTAGCAGCAGCTAGGTGGTAAATAGGGGCAAGGGCAAAGAGGCAGACAGGAAGAGGGCTAGATTCTGCATTTGCGTCCATATAGAAGGATTTCAAAAACTTATTTTAAAACTAGTCCGGATCTTAGAGCTGAGGAGTTTCTACCACAAAATTCTCCATCTGTCACTGCAGTGTGCGCGCGAGTCCCCAGCAGGGACACACCCACCTATGCAGTAATACAGCAGGTGCCCTGACAAATTTAACACAGGGCTGCAGGCATGAGAGTCTCAGCAAGATGTACCCACCTATGCAGTAATAGAGCAGTCGCCCGAGTATGTCCTGGCATTCAGCAGGACGAAACAGGAAGAGTCGGACCAAAGCTGTCAGCAACTCCATCTTCACTGCTGGAAATGTCTCCGATCTCACATTCTCTACAAAGTCCTCCAGAACATAGGGAGCACTGGGAACTCTCTCCCCATGCACCCCCAGGAGCCAGATCAGCGCTTGCTTGCCCTGGGGAGTCAAACAACAACACCAGATACTCAGAGCCAAGCCACTCCACACTGCACTTCTAGTGCAATCTGTGACCAAGGACCTTTGACACCAACTGGCAGAAGGCACTGGGGTACATAGGAGTACAGGGATTGCCTAGGTTCACCAAAAGGGGTCATGTGGTGGCCATAATCATTGCGAGATGTATGTAAGGAAAGCATGAGGAGTTATGTATATGTGCTGAAAATTATGTTCTCTAGGTTTTGTAGGTAAAGGCAGGTCACTCAAAGATACTGTGCCTTGAGAGAAATTTCTCCAGACAGGAGATGGGAGACCTGGTGGACCATTGTGTACCGTGGGTCTTACAACAGAAGTTTAACATATTAAATCAAATGCTAAAGAAGAGCTTGCGAAGACTTCTGAAGGAAATTAATAGGAACAGCTGTGGGAGGGGTAGAAACCTATTTTCAGATAAAGATCAAAGGTCTGGTCTGGAATATCTGGGGCTCCACAGAAACATCCTGGCATCCTTCAATCTCTGAAGACATGTGGCTAGTAAGACTGAAGTTATGAAAGGGGATCTCAGCCATCCTGGCTAAAAACACTGAGAAAAGGACATGGAGTAAGCTATCCTGTAGGAGACGGGGAACGTCTTGTGAGTTAAGTTTTGGCTCTAAAAGGCACATCATGTTATGATTTTCCTTTACATGTAACCATCTGTTTCTAATATTTTTATTTACTATCATTTGAACCTCTGCTCTTTGATAAAGTTATTGTTTTCACTATAAATCTATTTAAGTGCTGTGTGTTAAGTGGAATGGGGATCCTGAGTTGAATCCTGTGGAAGCAGTTGCACACTGTTCTTTTGGGAGTAGCAAAGCTAAGTTCTGTGAATGTTCAGGGGAACAGGAGCTGGTTAGTCCAGAAGGGTGCTTGGAGGACTCAGGGGTTGGTACATGCCTATTGCTAACCTATAGAGAGAGTGCAATGCCTGCGGACACCTGGATGGCAGTGTTTGTATTACGGGAGACTGGTGCAGCAGGCACTGACAAGACTTCCTCACGCTAAGGGCAGGAAGTAGTGAGGTGCCTCATAACTCTGGGTACCCCCGAGAAGAATCTCTCCACCACTGGAGCATCAGGTGGACTGGGAACCCCTGCCTGCAGCTCACCAGGATGCCTCTCAGCTCAAAACTGTTAATTGGGGAGAGGAGTATTCAAGACAAGAGTCTCCCTATACAAACAAAGGAACACCCAGCACTTAATACCAGGCTTTTCCTCTCCAAAGCACTGGACCAGCGCGAACCAACCGCCTCACAACAGTCCTGTGAAGCAGGACTATTGTAATACCCTTTTACAGACCGGTGAACCATAGCGGAGAGGAGATGGGACATGCCCAGGCAATAGCATGATTCCATGTCAGAGCTGGAATAGAATTCTAGAGTCCTAGCTCTCAGGCTAGTTTCCCAGACCACATTTCTGTATGCCTTAAATACCGTGGTTATCTGGGGTTAAGGGAAGTGG